GAGCATAATAAATGTTTAGTCAAAATATATTTGCTTATCCCCTCCAAAAACTTGATGACGTCAGCTCGAAAGTTTGCCGAATAAATCATATCTAAAATGTACAAAATATGATGAGTCTGTACTTGTCATTTATCACTCCATCCATATTTTTTGGATTTGCATATACAGGGTGATTCAAGAAAATAAATGAAAGCGTAAATTTATTTTACTGATTTACTCAGGAACTACAAAACCGAAAGCTTCGAAATCTTGAAGATATTTTAAAATTATCATAAGCATGGTAAATTTTTGATCAAAACGTATTTGGTCGTCCCCCCTAAAAAATTTATGACGTCACCACAAAATTTTGCTGAATAAATCCTATCTAAAATGTACAAAATATGGTGAGTCTCTTCTTGTGATTTATCATTCCATTCAAATTTTTTCGATTTGCATATACAGGGTGACTCAAAAAAATTCATGAATGCGTAAATTTATTTTATTGATTTAATCAGGAACTACAAAACCGAATGCTTTGAAATCTTGCAGATGTTTTAAGGTTATAAAGAGCATAATAAATTTTTAGTCAAAGTATATTTGGTTATCTTCTACAAAAAACTGATGACGTCAGCTCAAAAGTTTGCCGAATAAATCGTATCTAAAAAAAGTCAATTTATTTTATTGATTAAATTAAAGGCAACACTTATTATTAGTTTTACACCCCAACCAACCCAATTTGGTAGACACAAAATTTTTTAAAGTAAAAACTCGGTTGAAACATAAGGGTAACACGCTTATTTACATCTACTTTAACATTACAGACGTGCATTTCTTTTGTGCGCTGACAAGGTTCCGCGAATGTGGTATAGACATGTTTATAATCAACCAATTGTGAATTCCACCGTCAAAAATTAAAATAAAACTCAATGTTTTAGATAATAAGCGGAAGTAGAAACAATAAAACTGATGGTCGTTTTGTTTACAGTTTTTCTATTTGACTCTCACGTATGCTGTTACGTTTGTCATCTTAAATTAAGAATGCTTATACATACACGATTTTCAGTTCCCTCTCATATTACACGCCGGCGGCGTATACGTGAGTAAATTGTTTCGTTATTTTATTGATTATAACAAATCAATATTCAAAACAACCCAATTCATTTTCCCGAAAATTTGGGAATACAATAATTTTATTCTTAGTATTACACTACATCTATCCCAACTGATATACGTGTCCTTGCAAAAATGTTGATGACGTCATCGCAATTTTTTTTAAATTCCCACTAAAAAAATGTAATGAGAAAAAAAAAAAATAGGCATGCAGTCGTCAAGTTTCCGACAGCGAGGGAAGTACTGTCTAAACTCTTTAGACCAATTTTTTTTATTGCACATATTTCGAAATCACCGTGTCTATTTATAAAAATGTTACAACCCCAGAAACCCCACATTCGACAAATCAAACTTCCACCAATAAATTTAATACTCTGAGGTGATAGGATGATTTTTGAAATTCATTTGAGTACATTAACAATTTTCTTCCTCTTTTTGCGAGAAATTCCAAACACTCTAACTTCGTAATATTAGTCCACCGTCTTTTATTAAGCTCCAATTCTTAAATGTGTTTCTGCTTCTCAGGTATTTTCTGTTCACATTCCTTCCTTCATTTTCAATTATTCGAAGGTGCCTTATTTTTCTCAAACTGTTGCATCATCGCATTTTCTTTTACTATTTTCGTTTTATTTTAATTGAGTTCCTTCAGTACCGGCGTTACCGCAAATAGCAAAATTGTCCACTTATGTCATCGAAACCTAACTGGTCCGAACCACTAAATTATTGCCCAAAATGGGTCACCGTAATCTGGGGTTGGTGAACGTGTGAACCCCGATGAAGTAGAGTTATCTATTATTTGAAGTCACGCATCTTTCCATTTACGTTGCATTCCAGTTGTCTTTTTGGAAAATCATCATCAATTGCTTTTAGAATGTTTTAATTTTATCTTTCAATTTATTTTTTCACGATCTTCCGTGAATACAGAACGAGTCAAACGTGGTCGATTTGTGCATCAGTTTGGGTTCCTAGAACTCCATATGACTTCAGTCCATCTTTCTCTCAAATTAAAATTCCACCTGATACAAGTCGAGTACAAATGGACCACGTTAACCAAAAACGTACTAAGCGACAAAATTGCAATTTGAGTAATACTAGAGTAAACTTTCATTAAAAACTAAAAATGTGTATTAATGTCGGAATAAAATGTTTGCCTTAAAAATATATGACTTTATGAATGTAGTCTATTTTGTTAATGACATCAAAAACACCCAGTCCTTTACAGTTTTAAAGAAGCATTTTGGCGCTTGGTTCTTTTTTGAGAAAACCATGATATTAAATTTATTATTCCGTAAAAAGGCACTAAGTAATTTTTTTAAAAATATTATATATATTTATATTAATTTAACGACCTGCTATAAAAAGGAACATATGCCGTGAAACAAAAACAAAAATGATTAAGTTAAATTTGTTTACCCTAATTCGAAATCGATGTCATCTGAAAAACCCTCCACATAAAATTCACAGTTTATTCCCCGTAAGTTTTTGTAAAAGAATTTTGCATCCTCGGGAATAAAAGGACATAATGTTTTTAGATCTGCCAAATTTTTACGCGATATTGCTTTTCCATTTTTAGAAGTCTTTTCCTTTTATGCATCAAAACTTCATTGTAGATCTCATTTTCCTGATTACTTGTCATAAAAATAGAAAGTGGTTTATCTTTAGTAAGTTTAATCACTCTTGTTTTCAAGCATCTAATTTTTTGTTCATGTAAGCCTTCTATTTGTGACACTAGACTCTAAATCGGCTTCACTACAAAAATGTTCTTTCTGCATAAACTAAACAATAAGTGGATTTTTCTTTCTACAATTTAACATAATATTGGCGTAATCTTTTATACATATTTAAAGTCTCTGTATATACTTAATGACGCCAAAATCTTTGTTATTTGGTAAAAAACCATGTTCCGAACCAAAAAAATTCAAATATATCGTGTGTTAAGTAGAATGTTGCTATAAAATTGATTTTAGCATGAATACAGTTTTTATATTACTATTTTTCCAAATAAAATAGTGTCCTTTCCTTATGTTACCGGAGTAAGTACCCTCGTTATAAAGCCAAAATTGACGCTTATAAAACATTAAGTTTGTAGGATAGTTACAAGGAAACAAAGCACTGCACAACCAATTAAAAAAAGTGCTGTGTCGCTTGGTACCTTTTTGATTAAAACATAATCCCAGATTTATTAAAGGCGCATAGTTCTACCTCAAATTTTGACATTAAATTGTGACTGTTAGGATGTTTAACTCATTTTTTGCGATTTGGCGCTTAGTACGTTTTTGGTTAACATCGTTCAAATATATGGTGGACGTTCTAGAAGTTTCTAACTATAATGATAAAAGAATAACTTTTGCTTGCAAATGTTGCCGTTATTCTTCCAATGTGAATACTCATTTGCTGTGGACGTAAGTTCATCCTAGTAGGGAAGATTATTTTGCTTTCTAAATATGTAACACTTGAAATATCATAGCATCGTCTTTGCAATATTGTTTTAATTTTGTTCTTTTCAGATTTTTCAAATGTTTCTAAAACATTTGAAAATTTCGGCTTTGCCAATGTGAAAGATTAATATAGGAGTATTATGTAGCTGGCGCGTTCAGTTACGTTGAAAGCTGCGTTGTCATTTCTAAGATGTTTCCGGTTTTTACTTTAGTTTAGTACACAAACACAGGTATTTTACTTACAGAGAAATCTGTAGTTTTCCTACGATTCCCAGAAATCAAAAATCCAGGATCGAAACCATCCGAAAGTAAATGATTATTCTGAAAATAACATGTAACTATTTAGGAAAGAAATTGTGCAGTACTTCTAATTAGATTCGAATAGAATTGTCTTTGATGTTTGATGTCTTTTTCTAAAAAGGCTTACTAGAATATTTATAGTGTCCAAACTTTATTTTTTTAAATATACATATATGAACTTATCGCAGAAGATATTGTTCAGTAATGTAAAAACAAAAAAGTAGCTATTTATATACCGACGTAAAAGTACTTATTATAGACGAGTGTACCAGCAGGCGAATCTATAAATAGGTACGTTTTGCCGAAGTCCATTACAACATTTTACCGTCAACCTTCACGGTTCTAGCAAACTAAAAATCAATATATTATACTATTTTAAGTGCAACAATTCTCAATTTTAATTATTGGAATGCCAAAATGACAATTTTAATGTTTATGTTAAACGTACACGTTGCTAAAATAATTCGCCCCGTGCCGCATCCACAGCAGATGAAAAAGATTTATGGACAAAAATGTTAATTTTCGTAGATGGCGACGGTCAAAGAATTTATATTTATACAAAAATTAGTTTTCCACCGATTTGTACTTGTTTATTGAAATCTATAGTATATTATTAGCCAAGGTTGCAAGGCCAAGCATTCTAGACCGAGCGCAAATTAGAACCCGAGACGCGCAGCGTCGAGGGCTCTGAAGCGCGAGGTCTAGAAGTGGCTTTGCAACCGTGGTTAATATACTATTTTTTTCACTAGTAGACACCATAAGACAATAAATTGAAAAAATAAACGTTCAATTTTTTTACGCAACATGATTTTGTTTTGATTTCTAATCAAACTTAATCTAAATCTTCAACACTAAGAAAACCGTTTATACTTGTCGCTGAGTTAATCATTTTATCTTCTACCGTCTACCAACTATCATGCGTATACTCAAGTAATGTTTGTAGCACACATTTGTTCATTTTTTAAGAAATAATCACATCAAACATTGCGTACATAACCTCAATTTTTCTTTTTGAACCCGTGGTAGCAAAAGTTGAATTTGCTACCACTAAATGAGTCGACATTTGCATGCGCCCTGGCTGCTAGTGAAAAAAATAATTATTTCACCTAACGATATTTAGGCAACATTACAATAATTTGTGTCATTTGTTAAAAAAAATTAGGTACTGTTATACTAACCGTTTCGTATCTCTACTTTATCTTCGCCACAAATGTTGTTCACAATATGTTGATTATTATTTTCTTCGTTCAAGTCAAAATCGGCAAAATGAACAACGGATTTTACATCTGCATTATTATTTTTGATGATCCATGCACATTTTATATCATTGGGGTATTTATTAGGATAACCAGGAGAAACTACGGTCTGTATGTCTTTTGTAGCATTTAAGTAAATTGTACCACAAATAGCTGAAAACCGAGTCGCAATTAAGAATTTACATTTCTGTGGTTAATATTTACATGGTGTGGCTTTCAAAGTTATTTTAAAAGCTCTCCTGATAACTCCTCTTGTAAAAAGTCTTATGCCCATGCTGTTGCTTGTACTCGACAGTTCTCTTGCAAAACTTGTGCTTGTAAGGCCACAGAATTTTTCGATTATCTCAGCCACGCGTGGGTGTCCATCTCTGACCTACGATTAAAGATTAAACGAACTAAGAACAAAATCGTGGAATGAATAATTTACTTCCAAAAGTCCGCAGCTACAATTCTTATAATTATGACTGTTTGAACCGCACGTGGTAGGTAAATTGAATTCATCAAAATGAACGTTTATTGTGGTGCTAATATCTGACTGAATTGTCCAGGAACAATCCATATCTGGTAGATCTGGTGCAGTCAGTGTTGCAGCTAAGCTTCCGTTAAGTTTTAATTTTCCACCGCATCCAGAAGCAGGTCCTGAAATTATGGTAATTTAGTGGCACTAGGAAGATCGATATTTTAATTACATACCATCCGCAAAGTAAACTTCAGCTTTAAAACCAGCATGATTTCCAGTTCGATCAGTGATCAGCACTATCAGGACTGTATTGTTTTCTGATTTAATGACCGGAAGATTCTTATTCAAATTACCACATAAATTAGGAATTCTTTTCGATCTTAATGTAATGAATTCGTAAATCTCAACGTTATCGAAGTAACAGTTCTGTTTGTATTCGAAATTGAACTCTTGGAAATTAATTACAATTGTCTTTTTTGGTGGAGCGGTGATCTTCCACATGCAGTTTATGTTCCCGTAGTATAAACCAGGTGATTTTTCGATATTCATGGGAGGTGATTTTATTACTCTTGCTGACTTAATTTCACCACCACAAGCTAGATATAATTTGATGTTTTGTTTGAAATTATAGTATTATAAGATTAAACTTACCGTCAAGTTGATAAGAAAACTTAAATCCTGGCTTCTGCTCCCACGCATTTGTTTCCAAAAGTATAAAGATTTTGCTACCTATTCGAATATCTGGGGGAATACGCTGACCACAAACGGGTTGACGATACATGGTTGCTATGGGAACATATCTTATTCCAAGAACAATATTGTAAATGGTTAGTTTATCGTACTTGCAGTTGGCTCCCGCTAAAAAATACAAAATGAAACCGTTGTTTCTGAAGATAAACACTTACCGTCTTCTAATTCGAAATGATAAAATTTTATGTTGACATATTGCCACATTTCCTTTCCAGATATATAATATTCGCAGCGCATATTTTTTTTAGAAAGAAATGGATATCCTGGACTTACAACGAAACGTTCAGTAGTATCAGCAATGAAATGTCGTGCCCAAATAGTTTTGACCGCGGCCGAGCTTTTGGACACTAACAAAATTATTTATTTGGGTGTAGGCCCATTTCCTTGGAAATGGAAGAGCTAAACTGCATGTAGGGGAAGAAGTAGTAATTAAACATTTATAACATTTTTATACGTATATTAAAGAAAGCATTATAAGCATGTCAAAAGAATAATCGAGTAAATGTGTAAATAATCAACAGAAAAATAATACATAAAATCAATTCACACACATAACACGAAAAAACAAAACAACATGCAAAACTATCTTCTAAAGCGCTACGCAATTATATTCCACTAATAAAACTCTTAAAATCTATGAACATAACCCACATTTTTAATTAATAAACTTAATCCTAGAAAAATCAGCATGCAAAAACACTAAAAAAAAAAATGCGATACCTTCTAAACAACATTAATATTACGAGCATGATAAATAACCAAAAAAAAATAAACTACTAACTACTAAATGGAATCATTACTTAATTATTTGAATAAATTGCGATTGGGCATTTATATATATTAATTAAATCATGAGAACAACTAAAATAACGGGTAAAAATCATGCACTTAAATCTACGACAACTTATAATATAATATAAAATAAGAATATAAACATGTAAAAAGAGAGATAAATGAGTTTTTACATACATCGATTAGCTAATATGCCGAGCATAACAATTGTTCACGAGAAAAATTGATGGTTACAGGACAGTTAGATACATGTAAAAATAAACAGTCATAATTTATACATGCAGTTAAACATTGGGACATTAGTATCATAAATGCGCTAAAATACAATGAGACGATTAAAATAAAATATAACGTGAAGTTTCCAAATACTATAGCAAAATATTCAGAGAACGGAGTCATATTTAAACGGCAAAAATTCAATATAAGATAATCGACAGCAAGAAAATTAGATTAAAAGGTTTCAATTCGGGAACTTCCCAAAAACGCACATAAAATATTCATGTCGCAAGCAAAGAATTAAATCGGCAAATTTAAAGAGATATTGGAATAATTATTATAAAAGCAAATGGTAAAAATCAGAAAAATCCTCTCCAAAAACGCATATAAAATATTTATGTCGCAAGCAAAAGAGTTAAATCGGCAATTTACAGAAATTTTGGAATAATTATCATAAAAGCGAACGGTAAATTATCGAAAAATCCTCCCCAATAATCAAGAACTGACGCAAGGCTAAACGTGCCACCTGCAAACGGGAACATATGGAAGCACTAAAGATTACTTTCGGTGCCGGCGCTAACTGTTCACACCCAACGTAACGGAGAAAACGCATAAATTAAACGCTACACATGTACGATTCAAACTCGAGAACACATGACGAAAAAACGGAAAGCAAGATAAACTAAGAATGACTAAAAGGTAGACTTACAAAGCTGCAGCATTGAGAATTTTTCTATCTTCCTCTCGGGCTCAGCAAATTCTTCTAAGTTCGGATTTCTTCAAAATTCAGCAAAAATTAATAAAAATTCTCGACACCGGTTTGGACAGAGCCTTCGGCGGCAACTGGAAACTTCTACTTAAACTGTTTTCGGCGCTACTGCTTATATAGGGATTTTTACTCATTATTCTTGTCTCCCGTGACTTTAGTGGACTATATTTCTTCATGATTAGTGTATTACTCGGTACGGGATTTTAGGTTTTATTTCGTTGTTATATAGGGTTTAGCTTTTAATTATGGTTCCGCGGCTGACGTTTTTTATTGGTTAGTATGTCGTATATTTTCGGGTTTTTTCAACTTGCGTCATGCTTTTCATGTCGTCATCGCTACATGTGGTTAGCTTGTTGTAGCAATTTTTAAAGAGGGCGGTTTTTTCTGAGGTTGTTTATGTGTCTGGGTTTTGTTTGCAGCTGTTTTAGTTTGGATACAATTTTATATGAAAGTAATTGCGATTGGCGATGTTTCTGGCGTATCATTTTGTACAAGTTATTTGCAATGTCTGGCAAGCGCAATGTTATTCGCAATTTGCGAATACGCGAATTTTGTTCCTCCATTTCGGGATTGATAGTTGATTTTGTTTATCTATTTGAATGGTACTATATGCCGATTAGAACATGCGTGTTAATTAATTAAGATTTGCAAATTTTCTAGTTATGTTTTGAGGGTTTGTTATTAGTCTTTTTAGTTACAATTTTCTCGTGAACGAATTTAGTGACGGCTCGTCACAACACTCCCTGGCAAAAAGTAAAATGCGAGCACCGAAATGTTCGCAGTTTTACTCCTACGTCCCTGATATGACTGGTTTGCGATCTGTTTTATTAGCAAAACTTTCCTATTATTTCTGATTGTTAAATTTTTACGGATATAAAAGTTGTGCCAATAATACTTGTTGCTTACTTATTTGTATAGAATGCGCTCTTCTTCTCTTCTGGAGGTGTCAAGTGTGATGCATCTCTATGGGTCGTTTTGATTTGACGGGCTCAGTTCTGGGTTGTTAGTCTCACTTTCTTGGTCCAAGGTTGTGGTGGTGGGAACTCAATGATTACCGTTTTGCGAGGAGTCATGCCTTGATATATGTGCACGTTAGAGTATGTATGAGGGCGAGGAGGCGTTTCGATGGTTTGCCTCTCTGTTGTGTTTGTTGGCGATGGGCTCGTCTGGATGCAAGTGATCTGCTCTATGGCTTCATATACTCGGGCTGTCTGCTGTTCGTTGTTGATAGCCTCTCCTCGAACTTTCGTGGCTGGTCTCGGGGTGTCATAACCGGCTGCTGTTTCATTGTTCGCCATATAGACGGGGTTCTCCTTGTAGTTGGATCGCCATGTTATGTTGGAGGGAGTTCGTGCCAACGAAGTGAAGCCTTCTGGGGAAGTTGAGGATACTTCCAGAAAGGTTGGTGTTGTGGGTGTGGATTATGCGTCCCCACTGGATGGATTTTTGTGTTGTGGAGCCCCTCGGTACAGGTTGATCATGCAAAACAACAGTATATTAATGATGATCAGGCCAAACACAATGATTAGAATATCATTGTACTGTTCCAGCTCATTGAAATTTTGCGTTAATGAGCACATTGGTTGATACACGAGTGTTTGTGATTGTTCAACAAACGCTCGCATAGGATCATATTGCTTGAGACTTATCGTTTGTCGTTCTCCGCAGTTCATAGGGAGGAGAACTAACGTCATTGTTGTCGAGATATTGTTCACGGTGTTTGTGTCGTGACTAACCCACCATATGTGTATTGGGTTAGAGTTGTTCCTTGGTTTTTGCCATATTAAGTTATATAGCTTAGCATTGTCTTTAACTGGCCAAATTATGGGGACCCATTGCTGAGTTACAGTAGGCATCGTATCGTCTAATTTCTAGGATTTACGCTGAATCTCCTTCTTGTGTCGGACTACCTACGGTCAAACTTTTTTTATCTTGCTCTCTTACAATTTTACTCTACTCTTATGATCTAAGGATATTTAAATGGAACGTATGAGATTATATTCTTAGTACTAGGCATGCATTATTATTGTTTTATTTTATTTATTTATTATTATTATTTTTTTTTTATTAGTTTAGGTGAACAGTTAGAACCAGGTATGATTTCGGGGTTCTTTTAGATCGTCTACCGCTTGCTTAAAGTGCACATATGTGATAGTATGAGATTTGGTTAATTTCTTTTTTCTCCGGATTCGCGTCAGGTCTTGTATCTACTAGAGGTTTTTCCGATACTTTTGAAAAATATGGTTCTTCCGGTTTTACAGTAAAGTTTTCGGAGTACGGATAAGCTAAGTTGGGAGCTGTTGGGAAGTATCCCGGATTGAGCGGGTTATTATCGCTAGGTGTATCATTACGTTCTGTGACTTTTTGCATATTCGGAATACCTCTTTCTTGTGTTTACGATGGAGTAACCACATTGTTAGTGTCGCCAAAAACTAGTCAAAATTTTAATTGCTCATCCGTGTTAGTTTTGAATAGCTATCGCGTTTATAATTATATCGGTTAGTGTTTTAATAAAGCGAATAATAGAGTATATTCCCAAAATGTCCCTTGTTCGGGAACCTATCCATTTGAACCTGTCCCACATCCTTTCTATTGTGGTTTCTGCTAGTTTTTCTATTTATTCAGCGCTAAATATGTGTAGCATTGAAACGTCCTGATTGTCTATTCCTTGACCCATCGTTTTATGCATGAGTATGTTATTTATGGCTTTTCGTTCATGTTTGAATAGCATAGCGTCTTGTGTCGTTCTGATTTCTTGAGCCGGATAAATGTTTCCAGCTCCCAGGTTCTGATTGGGAGTGAATATCAATTTGGCTTTATTGTTGGTATGGACGCGTCACTTCAACGGGGCATGTTTACCCATGTATTTTCTCGAATGGTTTTTTCCGTATGATCTAAACTTGTCGGAGTGTCATAAGGTATCAACATTCTGGTTCTGGACATTCGGATACATCATTTAGCGATATCATCATGATGTTTGTTGATGGGTTCTGACAATCGTAGACGATTAGGGATGCGGCTGGTCTGATTAGAGCGATCTATGTTAGGACGGTGTTATCTTGAGATATTTGTAATTAATGTGCACTCTTAGTACTTCTCCTCTGGTTCATCTAGTTATCCGTAACTAATCCTATCTGTAATGTTGTTTCTTAAATTCTTATGGTCTAGGTGCTTATCTATCTCTAATGGTATATGTATATTGGGTTATGTTCGTTTACGTAGTACCCAAGGGTCTTTTTGGAATCTGCCTTTGCTTTTTGTACGGTAAGGGTGTGGTTGTGAAGTTACTTTTTCTTTTTCGTCATCCTTGTCGTCTAATAGGTCTTCATTTCAGCTTGATCTGCTCCTTCTTTTTTTTGGCTGTTGCTAGCTGTGATGTCTGGATTTCTTCGATGAAATCGTTGTCCAAGAAGGCTTGTATTTCTTGTTAAGTACTATTTCTTTCTACAGCGGAACATTTTCTGTATTAAGTAGACGGTTGACTTTTTTTTTTTTGCACGATTCCAATTTTAAATTTTCAAGCAGCTGATAATTTCGGGTTGTTAATAGTTCACTTCTGATGATATTTGTTTCATAGTGATTCACTTTATTCAAATCGCTGTAATTTTAATTTAATTTTCACTTTACACTAATTCACTTTATTCAAATCTACTTTCTGCTAATTCACTTGATTATGATTAACTTCTTTGTGTTTCACTTTATTCCAATTCACTGTAAACTAACTCACTTTATTTCAATTTGTTATATACTATTTTATTACTACTCATTTTACACTAATCAATTAACTTTCTTCAACTTAATTTTCTTTTTGTTTTCTAATTCACTTCTAATAAACTTCTATTCTGCAACATTTTTCTCTGATTTTTCCTTCTTTCGGATGTTAGTTACTTTCCAGTAGTATTTGTCATTCGCATCGGGACATTTTCTTAATTATTGCATGCTAAGTGAGTTGTTAAAACGTTGTCGAACTTCTCGTCCAAGGGTTCAATCATGATACACTGCGAAATGGCCAGTTTTCGAAAGTGCACCTTGGCAAACAACCTGATTACGCGGTGAAATTTTTCGTGTCGCCGAGAAATTTTTCAACATAGTTCTGTGTTATCGATCGATCTAGAAGGTCTTCATTGTCCCGAGGTGTATGGCAATATTGCTGGTGCTCTGGAGTAATTATATACTTTACTTAATTCTTTTGATTCTTCGTAGCCATTGATACCTTTGGTAATTAATCCTATCCTAATACTACGGGGTGACTTATTTGAATGAAAACCACTCATCATTTCTCCAATCCCATATTTGAACGAAATCGTTTTTGCAGTTGTCGCTTTGTTCGATTTGGAATCTAGTGATAAACGTAAGTCCAATGTGGTACCCTGCATCACTCCTAAGTTCCCATAGACACTCTGCATTGTTAGGGTAATCATCAGGGAAAGAGGGAGTTTGGATTATCCGACTTTGGCTACGGAACAAACCACCGCATCCTAAAAAATTCACTTTCACAATTTGAGACTTTGATTTGTTTACATTACCTTGTATTCTTGGTTCGTATTTTAAACTAGAACTTTTTCCGTTTGACTCTAGGTCATATTTATATTCAATCCATAAAATATTAAATTCCGATCTTATGCGCTCAGGTTTGTTACTCTGGCAGTATCTATCAATCTTCGGACTGTTCGGCGAATCCCCGTTGTATATATCCAAGTAGCTCTTTGCGCAATTATCTCCTAAATCGAGGTTCTCAAATGTTAAAAGAATTGTTCTTCTGGTAATTTTAACAACCAAGCACATTCAATCGATGATGAGTACTTGTTTGGGTAACCAGGACTTCTGATAGCCCCTATTTCACCATTTATGACTCCACCACATTGATACGTGTTATAAGACATTGTATAATTGACAACACTTCCACTATTAGTTTGCATGAATGTTAGTTTTAAGTTTGAATAGGGAGATCGGATTACTGTTGTACTAGGAATCCACTGTATTGTTTGGATAGGTGTTTTGGCGTCTTCTAAAATAAATTTCTTATTAATAAATATTTTTTACATTAGGTGATTATTTAAATCTAGTATCAAGAAGGCCATAACGTTGATGTCTTCTGTAAGTTATATGACTTTAAGTTAGTTGTAGGCTCATACGTAATGAACTTGGTTTAGAAGTCCTACCAACGGGACGATAAATGATAAAAAAGGCAAAGTTGAGACCGTTTTGGTTTCTACTTAAAAAAATTACTGTATTGGTTGTTTTCGATAAGTTTTTTGTTTCATAATGCTTCTCGATTCCAGAAATAATTATCCGACGGGAAACCTATACCTGACTCCACTTTAATTGCGGCTAGATATTGGAAGCAAGTAATTTTACCACTCGGATTAGTCTTATTCGTAGTAGTGGTAATAGTCATCGCAACAGTTTTTCCTTGGGACTGTTGATTTCGAATGTAAGTACAAAAATAAGGGTATGGAATATTTGGCTGAGTGATAGTACCACTATCATCATTTAAATCACCTTGGCAGCCTAGATTTTAACAAACTATAAAATATTGATCAAATATAGCAAATGTCGCATACTCGTCGGTTCATTGGAAGAGAACTTTAATTTAAATCCACGTCCAGTTTTCCCCGGAGACCCGTAGTAAATAAACATGTGATTTTCCGAAGAGTCGACCGTTTTCTCGTTATTCGAAGAAATTTTTTTAAGGAAACCTTGGAAATCGTTTTCATTATAAAATGCCAATTCATTTACCGACGGACTTATGAATCTATTGTCTAAGTCGAAGTCCTCTATGTTTACAGTTACGCGTCGGCCACGTGGTACTTTGATGTACCAAGTACATCTTCTTGGGCCTTCATGGGATACTGGATAACCTGGAGATTGAATTGTACCTTCTGTGGCTTCAATGGTACCACCACAAACTGAAACCAAATTATGTAGCTACTTCAAATTTTTTGTCATTACAAAAGTACCTTCCTGGCTGGAATTAAAGTTTAACGAGAAACCGCTTAAATCTTTTTTTGCTTCGTTGGTTACGAAATTAACGAATACTTCGTTTCCAGCTGAGTTTACTTCATTCGGAATTTTTTTTCCCGCAGAATTTACAGAGAGTGTTTTCTAAAATTTTCCCATATGATACATCTTTATAGGGTACCAGCTTTTAAACATACTCGTGTTGTCCACATGATTTTCTTCATAAAGCCACACATGGTCAATTGTACATTCGAAACTTTCTTCTAAATCGATTTTATTGAACTTTATGTTCATACTATGACCAGGTGGTCCCATTAAGTGCCAAGTGCAGGTTGCACGGATGGGATACTTAGAAGGATTGTTGAAGAAGAGTGACCGAATTTGACCCATTTTACTGTGGATGGTTCCGCCACAGTTGGCTGAAATCGGTCTTAATAAAATTTGAATTACATAAGCATTCCGAGGCTGTGTACAAGCTGTGTTTGAGAAATGGTTTAATTTAAAAATTTAAATTAAGTATGTTGTAATAAATGTCAACCTAAATCTTGGATTCAGGTTTTAAAGAAACTAAAACCAGGCTTGCTGAAAGAGTGAAATCTAAAACATCTTTACTTAAGAGTAGGCAAGAAATTTTGTATACAACAGAAAATGGTTGCTGATACGTTGTGACAATTGTTCATTCAGAAGAGCATATCCCAGAGAGTACCGAATAATTCTAATTAGCATATGGTTTAAGTGGACTTTAAGTGAAATTTTAGAAAACTTTGATAGCATTTTACTCACTGTACTTAGGTGTTTTAGAAGACAGCAACTCGAAATAGTAAATTTATCAGTTCGTGAATCATCTGCAGTTTAAACTAAAATTTGTTTGAAGTTATAATAAATATGCGGCAAAGAATTGACAATTTCGCGTTAACATAAACGTTACAAGAGAATAAAATTGTAACGATTCAAATACGAATCGGGAGGAAATTGGCCATGAATCTAATGATGATCGGTGTAGAACGACCAGAATGAAAATAGTTAATCTTGTCGTATTCTTTCTTACCGAGAGTTAATTTCGCCTTAAAACCATTGCTCGGATGGGTTAACTGAGTGAAGAATTTTACAAACATCATGTTGTCAGATGTGAATCGTGAATTTGGTCTTTCGCCGCAGAATTTTCCGATTAACTTCGAATATATCGTTGCACCATCCCGTACTTCCACATACTCTTTATTACATCTTAAACACGATCTTCTACAAAATATTCATATTTATAACAACTTACTTTTTGTCATTGGCCACGTCAAATCTGTATGGAAAATCAATTCGGATGATTTCGCCAGGAGGAGCAGTGATTCTCCAAATACATTCAACATGCGGAGGAGGTATTTGAGGGTAATTAGGTGAGTTAATTTCAGTAACATTTTCGAACTGGTTTAATGTTATTTCTCCACCGCATGCGTAGGAAACTTCTCGGTAGCGTATTTTGAAATTCTATTAGAAAATTTAATAATTAAAAAAAAGCTGACTGTTATTCAAAGATTACGGCTGCGGAAGGCGGTCCTTCGTATTTAATGTACGCATTATTGCCAGTGGTATTAAGTCTCGAGGGAACTTGATCACCGCAGTTACCATCTCCTAAAATCGGAGAATCCGGAAAGATACCATTACGTATCTGAATTACGAAAGTACATTACTGTGAATATTAAGAATATTATACTTACTATTAGATAGTTATTACAGCCTATTTCGTCGTGTACTATATCGAACTGTAAGAATTCTAGCTCTATTGTTTTTCCAGCACCAACCGTGATATTCCATTGACACTATAATTTCTTTAAGAATAAAGAGTGTGTTAAATGAATAGTCTTACTATGCTAGAGTGTCTTGGAAGAAAACCCGCCCTTATATTGTTGTCATATACGATGTAACTCGTAGGTTCCGTCAAATTACCACCACATGCTAAAATTTTTTTAATTCTTAATTTATAACTGAATTAGGTTAATGAGTTACTTTCTCCTATAAAGGCCGCAAATCCAGTACGATTTTGATAGTCGTCCGTTTTAAAAGTTACCTTCATCATGTTTAAAGCATAGATGAAATAACTAAAGGTCACGTTTTCGTGACAAGTTTTTATAACACTCTCCCAGTCCTCATTTTTCTTTTCCAAGACTTCAACGTAATCTCCGTAACAGGAAGAGCCGTAAGGAGGTGGTAAATCCATATCCGTGAAATAAATAGCTATTCGATTCATCGGAATCGTAGTGAATATCCATTCACAATTTAGATCTTTTCCGTACCCGTTAGGATATCCAGAAGATGTAATTTTGGTATAATTTTTCAAAGCATTTATATTTACGGGTTCGCTCGTGCCACAGCCTTTGGATAAAAGATACTTACTGATACGAAAAATTAACTCAGAAGTAGTATTATATTACCAGTAGGGGTCTTATTGATTTCTCGAGTACTTCCATCGATTGCCAACCATTCTAGAATGAATCTAATTATGGACCGGGTCGTGCTGTAACCCCTAAACTTGATGAACAAAATATTGGAAGTGGATTTAAAATCTTTTGGTAGCGACGTCCCACAATACTCATTTATAAGAGCGTCAGTATCGCTGGAGCCATCGTAAATCTAAAAATATGATTCTAGTTCTTCAATTTGTTGATTTTTGAACTTTACCGTGATCGCGGAGAAATACATACTCTCACCGCTGTCTAAATGTATTTCTTTAAAAGTTAGTAGAATGCGTTTTCCGTAGTTTACGGTTATCCTCCAAGAGTAATCACCATAGAGTGGATGGCCTTGGTTATACAATGGTGACACTACTCTTCCGGAATGTCAGTTAGATCATTTTCACGGTCTGTAATTAAAAGTTTATATTTATTAGGAATTTTCGTTGAAAAATATGTTCTACTTAGAATATATTCTGCTTGGAATCCTTTAGCGGTGATAGCTGATAAATCGCCGTCCATAAGGCTGGTTTTTAGGAAAAACCATAAACTACCCATATTAGTGATATTTAACGGTAGATCATCACCACAATATGTTCCCAGAACTTTACCAGTTCCATTACTTTGTCTTACTTCCAAGTAGTCGGTATTACAGTGTTCGGACTCTAATAATTCAGTATGTAAAAGTCACCGATAGGTGGTTTCCTTCGGGAATATCAATTGTCCATTCGCATTCTGTTTCTATAGAATATTTTTTTGGATAACCGGGAGACGCAAAAGTACCTTCAACTGATGTTAGAGTGCCTCCACAATCTGAAATACACAAATCAGAATAAAAAATTATTGTACTTAAATACCAACGATTATCGAAAATGGAGTAAGTTGCAAACAATAATGAGTTGTATTCTATATCTATGTGCATTGCCGAACCGTCAGTTGTTAAAGTGGGTGGACTCTTCGTTCCACAGTAACTGCCCAATGAGGGGGCATCGGAAGAAGCACCGTTGTAGATTTTTAGAGCACTGAAACCTTCATCGCAATAATTTCTCATTGTGTCTAAATGAGTAATGGTTAAAGAAACGTGTTTGCTCGGATCTTTAGATACGATAGTCCACGAGCAATTAAATTCTTCGTAATCTAAATCGTGGGGGGTTAGTCGTATGTATCCAGTACCATCAGTTTCAATTCGAGCACCACATGTCTGAAATTGGCTAAATTAGGTTTGAATTTCGATTTTTATTAATTTACCCTTTTATATTTTGCTAGGAAACCTTTAGCTACAACATCCGTTTGTGTCACCATTTCCATATACATTTTATTTGTAGTCGAAGTAATAGTTCGATTAGGAGCATCTTTACCACAAACTTTGGCTAGCACAGGGTACTCTATTGTGGGACCATCGTAGACCTCCACGTAACTGTTATTGTTTGATTCACAGTTGACACCATCTGGTGTAAATAGATCGAAATCTTCGAACTTCAGCGAAATCATGTGTCCTTCTCCGATTTCAATCTGGTAGCTGCATGTATCGTTAACTTCGTAATTTTGAGGATAATTTGGAGACATAATAGTTGCTTTGTCGGCAACATATTTTCCTCCACATCCTATTAATAAAAGAAAAATAGGTATTGAAATGATTACTTCTTGTCTAATAAATCACTACTTACTTGTAGATTTTGTAGTATAGTTAGCAATGAATCCTACTCCTTGAACTGACGGATCAGCTTTAAACTTAACATACATCATATTGCCCGAGCTTCTTAAAGTTATCGGTTTATCTTGGTGACAAATGCTAGCGATTATGGGATAAGTATCGTCTTCACCGTTATATAGATTAATGTAATCCAAATGACATATGTAAGTTTTTTCAAGTTCTATCTTATCAAACGTGATCTCTATGTGTTGCCCAAAATCAACTTGAATGTTCCAGTTACATTCAACTGAAGGTGGGTAAGCGTTGGGATAATTTGGAGAGGTGATTGTCCCATTGGGTTGAGTTAGAATGTCACCACAACCTATATCAGCAGCATAAAATTTTGGAATTAGGTAAATAAGTATGTATTAATAAATATAAACACAACAGTACAAATGGGGTGAATAATAACAGACTACGTTATGAGTATTAAAAGTGCAGTCGTTTATTTCAAAGGTACATTAATGGTAATTGGCAAATGACGTTGGGTGGTTGTTGGTATTCACAAAATTAGTGCCATCTCGCAAAATTTTTGAAACTAGAAGCCTGGAAATGGTACACAGGCCACTCGTACTGTTTATTCGAAAATTAAAAAAACAACACTAGTAAGGCCTTTCAGCACCCAACACTTTTTTAATTATTTTACTCTGATTTTACAGGTCCCCTTAATGAAAAGTCAAATTTTATGAAATCTACCCAGTTTTTCCAAGGATAGACTTTTTAAAAAAACTTTTTCATGTTTTTCATGTTTTTCCAAAGGTGAATCCGATTTCGGTCAAACAAATTCACTTTTAAAAACGTTTAAAATTTAAGGATTTTATCCTATTGTTTAAGGTTTTGAGCTGTTTATATTTTTCTAAAATTTTCCTTAAAACTCTCTTAATAGTACGTACATGCAGTGGGAGATATCCATCGCCCAGTGGACTTACATATCCTCTATGTACAAATTTTATAATTTCGTTTGTGATTAAAATATCTTTTTTGCAAATGCGAATAAGCTAGAGAAATTATACACAGATGTTATAGCCCAACTCAAGAAATCAGAACAAATATGCTACAAGACAAATATGATGAAGACATATTACATTTCTTCTTGAAAAGTTAGAAATCTGCAGCAAATCGGAGAGACATAGACACTTCGACTGCTCAACGATGAATAATTAGTCAAAAAACTATGTGGTATAAAACGTGAGTACAGACCTGCTTAAAAGGAAGAACTTTAATTACAATATAAAAAAGAATAACGAAAACTTTAGCAACATTGTTATAAAATATATGATAAAGAAATATTTAAATATGGGCTAAAAACATATTTACGTATGATCGAATAATAATAGGTTGTTTTTGGCCCCCATTTCCGGGCGTAAAAAAGCTCTGTTTGGCCCGAGGGCCAAAACCAACTGTTTTTGGCTCGTTCAATATATGTATACAACTACAGTTACTCAATTTTTATTTATTAATATGAATATTAATATCAAATACACATTTTTTACAATTGCTAACATTAAATCCAGGAACGTTAACCTCCGCACCAAAATCAGTTAACACTGAAGCACTATGACTTGTTGAAGGCTGTTGAGGGTCACTACGAAAACCTTCTTGGCAATTTTAATTTTATTTTGGATGAAATCTTCAATGCATGATACTGCAACAGAAGGCGGTCGCCAATTTGCCTTTATCATGGAGTACTGTGACCAAAGTGAAGAAGGCTTGTAAGTCGTGCTCAGGTCGTTGAAATATACCAAGAGAATTTTTCCTGTAAGATTGTAAAACTTCCATAGTGACTTTCCGTCCGCACGCATCTCAGCCCCGTAGCTACGGGGGGGCAAGATGGGGCTGAGCCCCCCCTATCAGTTGTGGTTGCCCCCCCTGGACCACTTACACATTATAAATTTCAAATTAGTAATAAAATTTCAATATAATGCCGATTGCTGAAGCATATTTATTAGGCCCACCCGCCCACCCTTTATTTTCTTACAGGGTATGTTATTTGGCAATATATACGAATTTTTAGATACAGTACAGCTGTTTGTGAATCTACATTATCTAAATAGATAGCAATGAGGCATCAAAGATTGGAAAACTTGGTTTTTCTGGCTTTTCAAAAGTACCGTACCAATTCTTTGGACTTGGACAGGTTTTTACGAAAATTTAATAGCGGAAAAACGAAGTTTACAACTGTTTTAATGAAAAAATAAAGCAGTTATCTGAGTGTATTATTGAAATATATACAGGATGTCTCAGAAATAAGTACATTAATTTTAATCAGTCATAGAGCTCATCGAACTCAACAACTTTTTTTAATAGAGTTTTCTCAAGAACTTTTTAATTATCAAGTTAAAAATTGTTAAAGTTTTATCACAATCAAGGTTACCCACCCATGGATCCCCAGTCACCCATGGACACTAATAATTATTAGTCAACAACCAAAGTACTCCTTTAATAAAAATGTGTGCACTGAATGCAGTTTTTTATGTAGATTTCAAATCTGCTCTCCAAATTTTTCCATCACGTCACATTTTTGTGCTACACGTAATTTTATATCGTAAAATTGCCATTTTTCACATAAAACGTGCATCTGTACTGCCCTTATTACACGAGTTGAAAAAATCGGATTTTATGATTTAGTCAAGTAGGCATGTGTCACAATTTAAATGACATTTAGAAGTTACGTCAAAATTTTTGTTGTGTGTAATTTTGCGAAATGAGTCTAAAACTAAAAAAATATCGCACTTACAATTGGTTTCAGAAAAAACGGGACAAGATGAGTAAATCAGGTGCTCATAAATCGAAAAGCAATGGGAAAAGACTATTACATAAAACGTTACGAATTTTTCAAGGAATGAAGCTGAAAATGTCTTCTGAGGGCAAAAATCTAAAAAAATCCCTGTTGTTTTTGAAAATGGTTAAAAAACTGTAGAAAACTTTGTAGTGAAAATTTGGATTTTGAAAAATTTGCTTAAAAATTCTCAAAAATTCCATAACGAAGATTTCGAGGAACTGAATAGAAAAACATAGTGGGTTGATGACCTGGGAATAATATTTTCAAAAAATTCGCTTTCAAAGTCAAAATTTTTACGAAAATTCTAAAAATCGTTGAATTCATTAGGCGATTACAGAAAATGTTAGGAATTTTTCAAGAACTGAAGCTGAAAATAACTTTCGGAAGTTAAAATGTAATACAAAATCTCGAAAATGGTCAAAAAAATTCAACAATTCTGTATTGAAAATTTGGATTTTAAAAAAAATTCTTAAAAATCCACAAAAATTTCTGAACAATAGAACTCGACGACCTGAATCGAAAATCATATTGGTTTGATGATCTGGGAATATCATTTTCAAAAAATTCACTTTCAAAGTCAAAATTTTTAAGAAAATTCTGAAAATCGCAAAATTCATTTGACGATTCTGGAAAATGTTAGGAATTTTTGAATTATTAATTATAACAATTATAATTATTACAATTAATAATTTATGGTCAAAAACAGTTACTAGGATACGTATTTTCCTAATCTTGTCAACATGACAAACATTTAGAGAGACATTGAAAATGCTGCTCTCTAATGGCGTACGGAATTTCATCGGCCCAAATGTAGGTGTTGATTACACTTTCCCTGGTGTAACCGACCTCATCAGTTGATGGTATAAGAGATCCAAAATTTGCTTGTTCGTTTATTTTTCTATTAACCCACTCACAAAAGTTTTGCCTACGTGGTAAGACTCTTGGTTTCAATAACTGAAGTTTCTGGTCCTGAAAGGGATACAGTTGTTCTCTGAGTATCCTCCAAATACTACTCTCCGATACATCACACTAGACAGTGATGCGTGCTAGTGCCCGGTTGAGCTTCGACACTCTTCAAAATAGCCTCTTCAATATTAGCATTTCGATTACTACGTAACTTACCCCGATCCTGAGGTGCAAGTTTAAAAGATCCGTACTCTCGAAGATGCTGCAATGTTGTTAAAAGTGCGCACGTTTGGCAGACGACGATTTGGGAGGCTTTCTGAAAACATTCTTTGGACGCGAGTGCCGTTTCCCCGAGTTTCACCGTACGTTAAAACGATATCGGTACATTCCAGATTTGAAAACAAAACCATTTCAAAACATTTCGTCTATAAATTAGAAATCTGTGCCAAACAAACTTTAAAGAGACAACGTTTATTAATAACATACACTTGTCATAAAAATGATCGTCAGTGTCAAAACGGTTGCTAGGGTACCTACTTTTTTCATTGTTGTAGTGTTGTTATTATTTAAGTTATTAATTAAGGTGACCATAGACGGCTCGTGAATATATGGGTGGGAAAATTCGACCTTCGACTTGAGTTTTCGAAAAAATGCTATATAAAAAAGTTGTTCCGTTTCACCAGTTCTGTGACTGGATAAAAGTAATGTACTTATTTCTGAGACACCCTGTATATTTACATGAAGCCCCCTCTGTCGTCAAACTTGCCCCCCCTGAATAAGTTTTCTAGCTACGGGGCTGACGCATCTTCAACACCACGTTGGAAATAGTATCCGGCACTCCGGCAGCAGAGCAAAGGCCTGTGACAACCACAGTATAGACATCAATCAGTAGAGCCAGCTCGTGTCAGCGCCTTTGTTCTTTCTGACCCGAATTTTAAGCCGTCATGGGTGGTCGTTGCCTAAACTACTCCTAGATGTCGCCACCCAATTTAAAAAGTATCACTTCATTTACAATTTCAAAAATTGATTCGTGTACGCAATTTATTGCAAACTGTGTAGTTTGCTCAAATCGTATAATCGTGAATCGCAATAAGAAAAAAGAAAAGTCGATATTTAATTTATAAACACGATTATTTGTTACAGTTTTTATTTTATTACTTATACAATTTAACAATTCGCACATTCTTTCCCCGAATACTTGAGGTTTAATTATCATTGTAAAAATAATGTAATAAATACATCTAAAAATAAAGAGGTTTATTTAAGAAAAAATAAATAAAATAAAAATTAAATTACAAAAAGGAAAAAAGTTAATGCTGCCAAATTATTTTCTTTCTATTAATTTTTTCACCTTTGCCATTTGTAAATTTTAAGCTAGCATTTACAAATTTTAGTGCATAAAATAGTCTCATCCTAGCATACAAAGCAAGCAAATAATCGTATGGAAAGTTTAGGCATGGATGAACAAATGTAGCTTGCTTATATAAATTTAAAAATTTCAACAAAGTAGTTGTCTGTAAAATTATATTTTCAAAATTTTCACTAAAAATTTGCTCTAATTCACAAATGTAAAAAAAAGAAATTATCGTTTGGCATATATAATTTACCAAATAACTCGCAATTCTTCGTTTGGTAGGCTCTGAAATGTGAATATATGCTTGTGTTGTCTTTTATGTTCATTTGCATATTTTTCACATTCACTACAACTATGTACTAATAAAGATTTCCGAATTAGGTAGCCTCAGATATATCTAATTGCGTTTTGTTCAGCTGTATGAAAGTGATAATCACAATCTTTTAAGGTGGTCTTCTGCATCGTGGTGACTGATTCTTCTTCATCAAAACGACGACCTACATTTAACTTTAACATTTCTTCCATATTAGGATCGCAGTTTTGATTACCTGTGTTCGTTTCATCAAAATAATCTTGTATGATTAATTTTCTAAAAGCCATTTGAAATTGATTAGATGTGGGGTTAATAGAATTTCCATTTTGTTTCCTAATCCATCCAAAACAGTTTTCTAGTGCGTCTTGGCAAAGGAGTCTTGTTAATATATAGTCAAACCCATTTTACCTAACAACTTAACCCGTAAGCGTAATATCATATAAAGTAAAATTTGTATTTAAAAAAAGTTATTACAAAAAAAATGCCTATTTGTCCGCTCACATAAAGTGCAGGTAATTGGTATGGGTCGACGCAGGTAAGAATAATTAAGGAATTCATGAAACCGGAAGTCCATAGGGATTAAGCGAAAAAGGATATTTGACAAAATGTACGCCTTGGGTCATTTTTACCCACGCGTGACTGCTTATGGGTTAAGCAACGTCCCAAAATAAAACTCAAGATTGTCTAGGTCAAAATATATATATATATATATATATACATGATGAATAAAAAAATTGTTTATTGAGAGAAGGTCTGCTTATATAATTTTTTGTTACGTGTAGTTTGTTTCTTATTATTTTTATATTTAATTTCACCACAACAACGGAATCATATATAATAAATTTTTATTATTTATTTCATAACCACCGTTGTTGTCCGTTTGCGACGACTTTTTAAACAAAAAGTGTGTTATGTTTACTATCTTTTCCAAGAATTCCAAACACGATGGAAAGAATAAGGCGCACAACAGTGATCCTGTATGAAAATTCATCGGACAAAGATTTTACCTTTTATTGTGAAAATCACATTTTTATAATATTTGTACAATTCTACCGGAAAAGCAGTCTTAAACAAGCAAAACCGGCAAAAATATTGTAAGAAAACTGCCAAATTTCAAATATTTTAGACGTCAGTTGGGCGCCCTCATTCGGTCATAATCCGAACGACCACCCACGAAAACGGGTCACGAAAAACGGCGAGCTGTCTCCACTGATTGATATCTATGCTGTGGTGACAACAAACCGCTTTGACAGAATGCAACCGGCTACACATGCGTAATCGGTCGCTCATTGGTTAATTTTAACTTGGCGCTCCAAAAATCTGACTTCGCCTGCGCGATGTTGTCTCACTCTGTATCATTGGAATTTATATAATGTCTACTCACCTTGCTTACAGGAAAAGGGCCAGGAGCACTCACAATTTTTTACATTTAAAACAGCCACGAAATCACAAAATGAACACGCTTGCTTACAGATCACCATAGTTATTCACAATTTTTATTATTTTATTTTAAATCAAAACATCTTCGTTCTAACATTTTTTACGAAACTTTTTTCTTAAAATATTGTGTTGATTGTCGATCGTACATAAAGTTTTGGATGTACCTCTTTTGCCCGTGGCGTGTTAGTGCACTCAGGCCTTACGCCCTTAATACATAAATAACTATTAAATTAAAAAATATGAAGTTAGATAGACATTAATTTGTCTTGTCATAAAAGTGTGCTATAATACTGTAATTTTGGGTTAAATTTTCAAAGATTAACGTTTGTATTTACTACTCTTAAAACTCTAGATACACAGATACATACCTTCAATTTGCCATTCTAATCGAAAACCACTGCCTCCTATTAAATTATCAGAAACGAAATGAATTTTAGCGCGACTGGATTTCAAAGTAATTAGTGGAGGGTTGTTATTGCCGCAGTACACTCCATACTTTTGGAAGGGACCTTCCCCTTCTTGAACAGGTTCAATATAGAGTATCTAAAAATTTAAGTAAATATTTTTTATCATACACAACACATTTGAGAATACTTCTACATAATCATAAATGCATTTATTGGCAGACTCGGCGGGGCCGGCGTAATTTGAGTCAATTCTTCCTAAATTAAAATGAGAGAAAGATATGTTGATATTATTTCTTTCAGCAACTTCGATTTCCCAGTTACAGTTGATAGAACCTGGATAGCTATTTGGGAAGTTTGGACTTTCTATAACGCCTCGGAAGCCTTTCAGTGTATTATTACACACTATAAAAATGTGGCAAATCCAAATACAAACTGAATTTACATAATTTTATCTTACTTGTTGTATACTGAAGTTGGAACCCTCTACCGTTTTGACTTAAATCCGATCTGAATCTCACCGTAAGACTGTTGCCAGTAGATCGAATAAACGATGGATGCGACGTACAAAATCGTCCCAACGATTTAGAATTTAAAGATGGACCGTCGAGAATCTACAGCTTTTAGATTTTAATTGTTTAACAAAAATTGTGATAATACCTCAACGTAATCCAGCTGACATTTCGAATGTTCTTCTAAATCTAACTCGGAAAAGACGACCTGAATTAAAGAACCAGCACTAACAGCAATTCTCCATGTACAGTCTGTAGCGACTGAATATGGTTCCGGGTAGTTTGGAGAAATTATGGAACCCCTTGGACTGCTCAGTGACCCACCGCAGCCCGTTGCTGTAGCTTCCCATTTGATTTTAAATCCACGTTCTGATCTCGTCATGTCTGAGTGAAAGCTGACGTAAATTTTATTAGCATGAGATGGAATTGACTTTGTAATATTTGTTCCACAGAATTTTCCTAACAGAGGAGAAGCAACACTGCCACCATTTCTATAAATTTGGAACGGGGATTATGTAAGGAAAAGAGTATCTGAGAATTACCTTATCTCTAGCCAGTCGTATCGACAAAGAGAATAGCTTTCTATGCTAAAATCGATTACGTTCAATAGAATTTGATGGCCGGGTTTAACTTGTATGGTCCATGTGCATTCCACATTCAAAGGGTAGTTTTGTGGATACCCAGGGGATTTCAATGTTCCAGCATCCGTAAAGTAATTTCCCCCACATACTAAACAAAATAAATAGATTTATTGAAACAAATCAGAATATTTACCATTAGCTTCCAAAATAGTACTGTATGTTGCTAGGAAACCACTCAGATGTTGTGTTGGGTCTGAATGAAAGTTGACCGTGACCAAGTTGGAGGTGCTAAGCATTGTCGCTGGAATCGTTTGACCGCAGAACTTTCCAATGGAAGAGCCTTGTCCGGTTTCTATATTGTTGTCGAAGATTTCTACGTAGTCGCCCACACATCCGTAACTTGTCTCAAGTTGAAAATTCATCCAAATTAACTGAATTATATTTTCCGGGGGAGCTGCGATAATCCATTTGCAGGTTTGATCTCCTGGATAGAGATCTGGGTAACTTGGTGTGGAGAAGGTGCCAGTTTTTTCCTTTAGAATTCCTCCGCATCCTGTAAAAATTGAAATGTGTTTGTTTTCTCTTTTCTAACCAAATACGTGGGACATTTAGAGGACTTGAATTACACGAAGTGTTCAGGAAATGGAGAGATAACTTTGTGTTTAAACTACATAAGTCTGGTTGAAAAATTGAGAAGTTAGACATTTGATTGTCCTCGATTACTGAGGATCTACAACATAAAGGCCATGTTGTTGTAGATAGAATTCCTAAGAATGGTATCCTAAGTGGGAGTGACCATGGAAGAGACATGAGTATGAAAGAGCTTAGAGAACAATTCTAGATTTACTGAACTGAAATTGGCAAAAGAATTAAGACTACAACTTCAAAAAACAACTGTTTATAAGGATTCTAAATTATTTTACTGATAAACAAGGAATAATCCAGAACAGGTCGTCGAAATAAGTTTAAAGACCAGTATTCATAAAATTCTAAAACGATTGAGAATTGAAGCTGCCATTCGTAAACTTTATTTGAATACGAACAGACGTAAGTAACTATTCAAACTTCGGTATATGGTCGCAGTTTTACAAGACAGTCGATTTCATGTGAAGATGCCACTTAATCACAATATTTTGGAGGTTATTTTTAAAATTAGAAGAAAAGAAAATGAAACGTCTTTTTAATTTCAAAATATAACTGATTTTGCAGAAGTATACTTGTTGAAGAATTGAAGAAATACCGGAGAATTTAACGTGACAAGAAGAATACTCAATACACCGAAGTAGTCTAGAAGAGTGTAATTGGTGTTAATAAAGATCATTATCTGTCAGTAATTTTGTTAACAAAATGGAAAATTTGTGCAGTAATGTTGATAATTATGTACTTTGATTAGTTTAATGATTTTGATAATTATGTAAAAAACCTTTGATTTATAAAAATGTGCTTCAACCCCAAGTTAATTTGTGTAAAATTGACAAGAAAAGGTTCTCATAAGAATATTTATTTCCCAAAATACATCTCTTTAACAATCACTCACAACTGTCCACACACCTTTTAATTTTTACTTGTATGTCTAATCAGTGAAACTGCACAAAAAACCCTATAACACGAAGACTGCTGTATTTTAGGGATGAAGCAGTTCCTTGATTAGAAATATACAAGTAAAGTTAAAGGTAACTAAGTTAATTTTCACAGCAACGGGAAAAATGCTGACACCATGCTACGAATAGCTTAACGACTATTGATTCCTAAAAAAATGTATTTTTGGAAAATAAGTATTCTTGTGAGAAATATTTTTGACTATTTCCTTCAAAAAATTTAATCCAATCAAATTAACGCATTTTAGGTCGTTCACCTAGCAACGAAGGAATTTCAGTGACAATTTTGTCCCAGGGAAAATTGTCGACAATTTTCCCTAGTGGTTCCGTCGATAATTTTTGACAGATAAAAATTGATATTAAACACAAACTTTAACTTTTATTTAACAGAAAAGTACAATTATTGAAAGTACAATCCGAATACATTGGGTTCTCTGAATACTTTTCTTTCGATACTAAGGAGCCATTTTGTTAATTTCATTTTAAAGATTTTTTTGCGTATCGCATTTCCTACTTTAAATTTTTTTCTGGAAATAGTCCTCCGAATACCCCTCGTCCATGTCCAATTGCCTCCTAATTTTCTCTCGTGCACTTCGTGCACTCGAGAAAATTAAATTGTCGGCAATTTGACATGCACTCGGGATATTACTATTGACAATTTGACACAAATGCTTTTAGTGTTAACATCAGTTTTGGTGAAGTTCGTGTTGAAGAGAATAAGGAAACATTTATTATCAATGTGCGTGAGAACAATTGGTCGAAGTTTATTTTGACAGAACTTCTATCGCTGCTGAAGTGCAGTCCAACAAATCCAGCTTAGTTGAAAAATTATAAAATTTCATTTTGTAATTTTTGTTTTGTGATAACCTCTACATCAAGTAAAAATCTGTAAATAACACCTTTTGATTGGCACCAGTCAATCATCACTAATTGCACCCTTTAACTATTTACAATAATGTTTTTATTGTTCTCTTGATACAACAGTTTCAGAGCCAGAAGCCTAGGGAATAATAAGAGTAGGAGATCAGCGAATTTGCTACACAAATCAGAGATGATATCAGAGAAAGTAATAAACGCAGCTTAAAGAGGAGTTTAGAACAATAAGAGAAGAATTAAAGCAAGTAACAGATTAACTACAGGAGCAAAATCAAGAAATTAGAGATAGGCATGAAGAATGGAAGCGAGCTAAGGAAGAAATCGGAAAAAGAGTGGGTGAACTAGAAAGTCAACTACATCGAATGGAGAGAGAAAAGATAAGAAACAAAGTAGTGGTGATGGGATTGGAAATAGGAACCGGAGAGCAGAAGCAGATAATTGAAAAGGTGACAAAATTTTTAGAAGAGAAAGCCAACGTAGAGAGTAAAGTTAAAAGCGCGTACAAAATTGCAGAGAAAGTTTATGTAGTGGAATTCGAAAACAGAGAAGAAAAAATAAATGTAATGAAAAGCAAGAAGAACTTAAAAGGGTCGTCAGTTTACATAAATGATGATCTGACGAAAACTGGATAACAATCGATGGGAAATAATAATCGTTTATAGCATGAAAATGGAGGAAACCAAGATAAACATTGAAAAGGAAACAAAAGAAAAAGGAGATGAAAAAATACTTACAGGAGGGGGTTTTAACGCAAGACTGGGCGATAAGGGGACAAGAATAGTAGATGAAGAAAAGGGAGAGAAAAGAGGATCAAAAGACAAAGTAAATAACAAAGAAGGGAAAATATTTTGGAAGATAATAGAAGAAATGGGATGGGAAATTTTAAATGGAAACAAGGAAGGAGATGAAGAAGGATATTGGACGTACGTAGGGGCTAGGGGAGAATCAATTATAGACTATGGGATTGTTAACGAAGAGGCGTGGAAAGAAATAGAGAGTTTCAAAGTCGGGGAAAGGTTAGAATCAGACCACATGCCACTAGAAATAAAAAACTAGAAAGAAAAAGAGTGAAAGTACGAAAAACAAAAGAGAAGAAACGAAAGAAAAGAAATAGAAAAAAGAATATGGGATGAAGAGGGTATTCAAAGATACAGAAGTAGACTAGAAAAAAGGAAATTCGAAGTAAAAGAAGATATAGAAGCTATGATAGCAGAGCTGATCAACATAATTGTAGAAGCTACGGAAAAAAGAAAGATATACATATGGCAAGGGAGGAGTAATGGATGGAACAGAGAATGTAGTGAGTTGAAGAGGAAAGCAAGGGAAAAATTAAGAAAATGGAAGGATAACAAGGGAAGGAAAAAAGAGTACTTAAAAGCAAGAGAGAATTATAGGAGAAAATGTGATGAAAGAAAAAGAGAAAAACGAGAAAAAGAAGAGAAGACAATAAAGTCCCTGAAAACAGAAGAAGAAGTATGGAGATATACAAACAAGGAACGGAGAAGGAAGACTGAAGTCAGTAGGAAAATCAAAATACATGAACGGAAAGACACTTATTAATGAAATTATTGGGAGGTTGTGAGGAAAAATGCTGCAAAATAAATTAATTAATCGAGGGAAGAAATGTGGAGAGGTTCGGAAATAACAGAAGATGAAATAATAAGACAGATTGAAAGATTGAAAAGAGGATAGACATCAGCAGGGAATGAAATCCAGAACGAATCGTGGATTTTCGGGACAGAAGGAGTGAAGGAAAGGATATGGGGAGTGGTAGATGGAGTTTGGTAGGGAAAAGGGTTTTCTCGGCAGTAGAGAAAAGGTATAATAATCTCATTATTTAAAAAGGGGCAAAAAAGTGATGTGAAGAACTACCGAGGGATTACCTTGGTCAATACGTCGTACTAGATATACGCAATTATACTAGATGAGAGCTTACGGAAAGAGATTGAATCAAGGGGTATGTTACCAGACGGTCAGGTAGGGTTTAGGAAAGGAAGAGGTACTATGGACAATGTGTACATCCTGCGGCATTTAGTGGGAAGAGAAATAAGGAAAGAGAGTGGACGAATGTACGCATTGTTCATAGATTTCAAAGCAGCGTTTGATAGCGTGAATAGAGAGAAAATGTGGGAGTATTTGAGGCGAAAGGGAGTAGATGCGTACCTGGTAACGAAAATGGAAAAAATATATGAAGAAACAGTAAGTAAGGCGAGAGTGAATAGAGTAGAGAGCGAGAGTTTTTAATACAAATAGAGGAGTGAGACAGGGATGCCCACTCAACTCCGCATTGTTTGCAGCGTATCTAGGACATATTGATGAAATGTTCAGAAAAGCACAGACAGGAGAGTTAGTAGTAGGCAAAGAAAAAGTGTGGTCGTTGGCTTACGGAGATGATTTGGTGATTCTGGCAAAGAAAAGAGAAGAAATGAAAACAATGGTTAAAAGTTTCGAGAAGTGCGTACAAAAACGGAAAAAACAAAAATGGTGGTGTTTGGGAAGAAAGTAAGAAAGGACAAGGAAGAGTGGGCATGGAGAGGGAAGAAGATTGAACAGATGAAAGAATGTGGAGTGGACGCGGATAAAAGGGCGTTGGATTTGAAGAGATGTTTAGTAATAGAGGTGATTGTAAAATATTGCAAGAATGTTGGAAATAAATAAGAAAGGAAAGGGGAAAACATGTTTGGAACGAAAGAGACAAGTATTATGAAAAAAAGGAATATGCATATCAAGAAATAAGGAGAATGAGAGAAATGGGAAGGAGTATGAAAGAAGAATTGAGTGTAAGAGATAAGGATATAGATAAGCAAGAACGCAGATCGGGAATATCGGAATCTAGATATAATGCAGAGTATAGAAAATTACTAAAGAATGAAGTACCAAAGTACACACATAGTGAGAGTATAAAGGAGAAAAGAATGATGGCAAGATTTAGGTGTGGAAATGAAGAGAAAGAGAATAATTTTTTGATGGATGAAACTGAGAGAAGGTGTAGGATATGTTGGAGAGAGGGAGAAATAATAGAGCATTTGCTGGAAGGATGTGAAGGATTGAAAGAATTGGAGGAATGTAGGGAAGAAGTGCTAAACGAGGATGGAAGATGACGGGATTGGATGAAAGAAGTATGGAAGATAAGGGAACTAAGGCAAGGGGTGGGCAAGCAGAAAGAATAGAACAATTATTATTGTATAAAACTCGAATGAGTATTTATTTTATTTATTTTTATTGATTTATTTGTATTATGTAGATTAAGTTAATTTGTACTTCTACTTCTACTGGGATTCTTATTAAGTCTGTAAGGGAAATAATAAATTAATACAATATAGTGTTAAAAGAAAGAAAACAGAACTTCAAACAGGTTCTAAGATGGCACGTGCTAAATCGAAATACTTTCTGAAAATATGCACATTCAAACATGAGAATGGTGATTCGCAAAGAAATTTCAAAAACAGCGTTTTAACGTCGATGCTTGGGGATTGGTAAAGGTAAATTTTGGACAATTTGTAAATAGACCTTTTAAACTTTTATAATTTTTTAACAAACTGTGTACTGCACTATATGCTATCAATCTAAGGTGAATTTTATTAAGTTAAGGCTCAGACTTGCGTTATTAAATATCTAAATTATACACATGGAAACTTCGTCCAGATTAGTATGATGTTCTTCAGAGTTGTAACTATTCAAATAAGGTGGTGTATTTATACTTACCAAATATTTCCAGTTTTAAGTTCTTACTACTTACCCAAATTGGAAGTTGTATAATTAGCTTTAAATCCTCGACCATTATTGTTAGAATCTGATTCGAATTTTAACCATAAGTAATTATAACTTGAAACAATAAGTGGTGGAACCTCTTCGCAATATGTTCCCACCAGAGATGAATTCGCGTCATGTCCGTCTCTAACCTGTTTGAGATTTAAAACGTTTTCGAGAATAATAATTCATCACATAAAACTTACCTCTAGATAGTTGTACGTGCACTTTGGATACGAATTGCTTTTGAAATCTAAGTCTTGAATTTTTAGCTTAATGATCTGTCCAAGAGGTTGTATTATTTCATATATGCATTGTAAGAAATGGTCATGATCGTTTGGATAGCCGGGAGACGAGATAACTCCAGAAGGTGCAGTAAACTTACCACCACATACTGAAAGCATTAATATTTTAATACCGGAAAATATTCGAAGATTGACACATTTTCTGAAAATTGTTATTTAATTTTGACCAGAAACTGAATTTACTTTTATGCTTGATCATGGTCTAAATCAGAACAGAGAAGAAAAATTTTCAAATCATTGCACTTACAAACCTGTTTCGTATTTGATTACAAATCCAGAACTAGTTGCGGCCCAGTTAGTTTTAAAAACAATTAGCAAAACATTATTATCTGTAGTGTAAGGTGCAGGTACGTCTGTTTCACAATATTTCCCGATCAGAGGAGCATCAACAGTACCACCAGCATAAATCTGAAAATAAAGTGTTAATTATTAAACACGGAAAATATAATGATGGTTCTTATACAGCAACATAATCAAACTGACATCCTTTCGTGTTTTCGAACTCCAACGACATAAACGTAAGCTTTATACGTGACTTTTCCGACAGTTGAATTGTGTATTCACACTGAATATCGTTCGGATAATTTGCGTTCAAAGATGGCGAACGAATTTCGTCTTGGTATCTGGTATAAACGCCACCACAACCTGGCATTCCTTCTACCACCGAATATGTTATTTGAAATCCTGGGTAAGTACGACTTGCATCCGTATGAAAATGCACCAGCACTTCAGCTCCTGGCGAAAACAACGGAGTCGGGTGTGTAGTGTTGCAGAATTTTGCAAAAACTGGATCGCTATATTCGGTTCCTGAAATAAACTAAATAAAAAGGCATTAATAAGAGCGTTGTTCTAATTGTGACTTTAACTTACTTCTAGATAGTCGTTGTCACAGGTGGAACTGTTACCAATCATTAATGAGAAAAAGTGGAACAGTAGACGTTTCCCGGCTGGAGCTTTTAAAGGCCAGTAACAATCTCTAATCGTGGATATTACTTTTAGAAATGCAAACATATTAGAAACTAAAGTGGTTACCTATTGTTGGGATAATTTCCAGGGGAACCGGGTGAGTGAATGTTACCCTGAGATGTGATTTGTTTTAACTCTGCACCGCAATCTGTATTATTAAAACATGTAAGTTTTCGTTTAATTAACTTGTCCACAATTGTTTCTTACATGGTAGTAAAGAAGTCCAAGTCAAGTGGAAACCTCGAGACGCCACAGAATGATCTGACCTGAACCATAGATGAACTACATTATGTGTACTGATAATAATTGTACCACCGTTTGGTAAACTGTGTCCACAAAAACGACCTATAGAGCGTGACAATGTGTTTTTTCCATCGTGAATCTATAAGTTGTGTAATGTTATGCCTATTTTTGAAATGTTTTTCAGAATTTACTCGTAGCCAGTCGTATCTACACGCAGGAGATGCTTCCACACTGAAGCTTGAAAAAGTAATGTTCAGTACCTTAATTATGTTAGTTTCAATAGTCCACGCGCAACTTAACGCATGCCCATATGTCTCGAATTGAACTGAAGGGAAAGCCAACGTACCGTTTTCCGAAGCTAGCTGACCACCACAAGCTTTAAATTGAAAACTAAATTTTGATAAAAGTGATACAGAGGAGCACGGAAGGTGTATAAGAAATTAAAAAATTACCTTGCCTCTCCGTTTCACATCTAGATCCAGTGTAAGATGACGGACAAATACATCTGTATGTAATACCAACAATCGATCTACAAGTACCACCATTTTGACAAGGATTAGTGGCACATAAATCTCTAAATGAATCACAATTTCTTCCTGTTAAATTTCTGTAAGGACCTGAACTGACGACGAGTATGATTTTCACTTACCCGTATACCTGCTGTAACATTCACATACGTAATCACTAGTCCCATTAAGTCTACACCTTCCATGTCTGCAAGGATTTGGATAGCAGGGGCCTTGGCCGGGTAGTAGCGAGCGCACGCATCCGTTGAGACCAATACCATTTCCAACGTAACCAGCTGGACAAACACACACGACGAAGGTTGAACTAATTCCTAGAGTATTAAAATCAAAAGAAGAAAACAAAATGTTTCTACATACTTGGGTTATTTCGACAAGTAGCTAAACTATGACAGCCACCATTGTTTACACTGCATACTCCTTGATAGGAGCAGATGACACCATTGCCCGTATATCCCGCAGGACAATTCCCACAAATTCTGGAACCCTATAGCAATGTTTGTGTATGTCATGATGTTACAAGCAATATGAATCTTACAAGAGTATTGATGCACTGTACCACCGGATTTGTACTACATCCACCATTTGAAGTTGCACATTCGTCGACGTCGATACAGTAGTACCCATTTCCGCTATAACCTGAAAATATGTGTTAAAATTTTGTTCCCAGTTATGATTCGATTTTACCTTGAGGACAGTTTCCACAGCGGAATGTTCCAGGTAGATTTACACAGGGTACTGGTGGGTCGACTGAACATGGAGCTTTTTTCATTGCACACTCATTGACGTCCGTGTTGTAAGCGGGTGTCTTACCATCGTTTGTCCAACCCTAGAACATATGTAAAGAATCCAAACCAAACAAAACAAGAATTTACTTGGTCGCAAATGCACTTATAACCAACATCGTTGTACTGAGTTACGCATGTTCCATGTCCACAGAGCTCTGCGTTAGATCCTGATTTACAGTCATTTGACCTTCTGGTACAATGAATACCGAACCATCCGTGGGCGCAAATACACCTGAGAACATTAGTTTTAAGTAGTTCAAATTAAATAGAATAAGTTTATTTACTCGTAAGTTCCTGGACGATTTATGCAAGTGGCTACATTCTGGCAACCTAAATCGGTACCAGCAAATCTAGCACACTCATCAACATCTTTATTACAAAGCGGCCCCTCCCATTCATCAGGACATTGGCAAAAGTAATCGTTATATAAATCTTGGCAAGCTGCCCCATTTTTACAAGGATTACTAGAACATTCATCCGTTGTCAGTAGAAGAGTAAAAAGTCGTATCGTCTTTTGCAAGTTGTTTACTTTTCTGGTTAATGTCCTAATTCTTCGCACTACGAACTACAATTTAAAATTAGTTACTGTAGCTGTAAATAAAGCCTGTGAAGCGGAATTAACTGCATCCTGCGGAAACTGATTAGATGCGGATGTCAGGTTTGCACCCCCTTGTAGTGTTTTTATTTTTGTCAAGATGCCATCATCAAGGAGTTGTTCGAATGTAGAAATTTTTGCAAGTGATCTTTGTGCGCTTATTTGATATTTTTTGATGGATTCTAAGACTTTGTTAGTCTAAAACGAAATATCTTTTAAAATGAATACTTGCATTCGATGTAAATTACGATTTTGGATGATTTTAATATGTCTGCGCTATTTACGTGAATTCCACCTCGTCCTACAGTTTGAAAGCTGATGTTTTTATGCTCTGCCGCATAAAATATCAGATGTCCATTTTGAGCAACTATCCTCGATCTGAAACACAATGTGGTTAATTAATGTCGTTAGTTTTAGTTAGCAATGCAGACATGTAAGCCATGCACTAGAAAATTTTATTTATTTTGTAAATTTTGAAATAAATTGCTATGGACGATGCTAACATCGCCATTGCAAGCGTGATTTTTTTAATGGACCAACTTTTTTTATTTTGTGTCTTTTTTAAAATTTAGTAAGATTTGTTTATTATTTTTGTCCATACCAACATTTTCAATATTAGAATCAAAACAAATTTATTAAGTTTAATTTTATTTTTATAAATTGAGTATAAATTTCGTTTAAATCTCGATATTTGAGTAAACAGTACTGTCATTATTAGTATTACACTGCAATTATTCAAATTTATATGTATTCTTGCTAAAATGTTGGCGCCGTCATCACAAAATTTTGTTATCGGAAAACTCACTTGAAACATCCACATAGCATGCTTCTTTGCCTTCACTTTAACTGTCCACACATACCTTTATTTTAACGTGCACGAGTTATCATAAAAAATAAAATTCGCAAAATTTTATTTTATGTTTTTCGAATAATCTATATTTGTTCGCCCGTACTTTAGGGCAAGGGAAGTTCTGTATATAGTTGTAAAGACATAATTTTGTCTATCGTTTAAATATTTGAAAAAGCAATAGTATATTTTACAGTTATTATTACTAAAAAAATATATAAATATCACTCCAAAAATTGGATGTAAGATGAAATTAAACTAACTAAATTCCTTAGGATATTCCTGCCTTGGCTAAACTAAGAAAAAATGTGTGGTGGTTATGAACAACGCACCATATCATTCAGTGCAGTTGGACAAGACACCAAAATGTTCTGGTAAAAACGCCAAATGCAACAGTGTCTGCTTAACCATAGTATTGAATTGCATGGGGTTTTGTAAGAATTGCTACAACAAGCACACACATTCTCAACCTTCATCCAAAGATAAGGTGAACTTGAAGCTCTCTCTTAAGGTACTCCAAACATTTGGGAAAATTTTAGTGGACATTGTGAAAAACTTATTTTGGTAGAGTGGAAAAATATATGGGAAATTTTTCCTCCTTCCATTATTTCACTAGGTGAATCTGATTTAGAGTAAGAATTAGAAGACGATAATGACTCAAATTTTTCTAATGATCGAAATGAAAAAAAAACCTTAAGCTTAACTTGCCAGGGGATGATTTTTTATTTCAAAAATTGTTTAATTGAAAAAACAGGTATTACCATTCATTAAATGACCATTTTATTTTATGTTGTATCTCAGAAAATTTTGATCAAAGCATTCCATATTTACTTTAGAAAAAAAAAAAAATTACAACATCTAAGTATACAGAATTCGTCACTTAGTTTTTAACTAGGTACATTTTAGCCGGCCGTCGCGCAACACCCCCTTTCGGCGTACAATTCCCGTCCAATTCCCGTTCAGGCGTCGCCGCCTCCCCAGGATCTGAAGAAGTCAGGAAACAGCCGCCGCCAGCAAGGTCAAAGAACGACCGTGACCGAATTTAATTTCTGTTTTTAGCCGTATTTCTTCATCCAATAAGTTTTCTCGATCATCAATTTTTGGAAAGGAACAAAACGGATAAATTTGGGTTAACGATTTACTATGACAGCGAAATGATTGGAAGATTTCAGAGTATTCAGTTTTGCAATTTCAGTAACAAAATTTTGATTTTCTTTAACCTGGATTTCCATGATAACTCAACACGTATTCATAAACACAAGTGTAGGAGTATATTATGTTATAAACTTTAAGTAAAATTTACTATTGTAAATGACATCGTTCCGTTCTTGGTAAGGATGATCAGAAACATTTTGGTTATCGTTTTACTAATTACACAATATCCCTGACATACGTACAAAGTTTGACAAGAATTGGTCCTATAGCTTCGAAGATTATCTGTCTGACAAAAATTGAAGAAAAAGGAGCCAACCGCAGGGCTTCGAACACGGGATTTTTTGGTTACAAGTGGGTGATGGTTTCATTGCTGCTACGAACTGATTGTCGTACTGCTTGCACATATATAAAGGTAATCATGATTACAATGTTTGCGAAAATTTTGATGTTCAAGGGGAAAAACTCAGAGCGGATTCACTACAAACGTAGAAGCATATTATTGTGTAGTATTTAAATAATTTTAATATGGAATCTTTTGATATGACTTCATTAAATTCTTGATGATTAGTTAAATTTTGCTTGGTGTTTTACCATCTACGTGATATTTCTCATATATATACAACATTAGACAACAGTCGGTCTAGTAGTTTCAGTTATTACTGTCTAATAAAATCGACACAGACGACAGTCAGACTACAGAACGACGGAAAGAGGAGACCACTTTTTTCGTACTCTAGGGGTCATGAAATATTGGGAGAAAATATGAAAGTAACCAGTCGCCCGATGGTGCTAGTACAATACTTCCTTCGTTAACGCTCGCTTGGAGTAAAAATCAAATTGTACTTACTGCCTTCCATATTCATTATTTGTATACACAATGTTCACCAGCGTATAAAAAAATAAAATATATATAAAAGTCATTTTTAAAACCTAATTCTGTTTTTCACTAAACACATTTTCAGCGAATGATCAAACTGCATTAGAGATAGTGGTAATAGATAACTGAGTTCTGGCGGTGTCAAGGGGCGTTATATATTAGGTTGTACTAATCATAATTAACATTTTTATAGCCCAAAAGATTGAATTACATCATGGTTGAATTACGTGTTAATGTGGGACCAGAATTAGTACATCAAGATGGTAAGGGTGGCTCGAGTGACAACTGTAATATAAAAGCAATAATCACTTTCTGAGATTATTATCATAAAAAAAAATAATCCAAAATGCTACAGAATACTCCGACAAAGAAAGACTAGCTAGTTTTTAATCAATGTTACTGGGGTGTATACGATTGGAATATCCAACTGTTACAAACATGGTTACATTTAGTTGACCCACGTGTGTTATTACTTATTAACTTATTAGATATATTTTTAGTTATTTCATTCTTCTTTGCTTTATTTAATAAGCAAATATTTTTATAAAACAACATATATTTAAGACTATTTCCTCAAAAAAAAAAAGATCCAATCAAATCATTTATATTTCTGCATGACAACCAATAAAAATTGAATTTCAGCGATAATTTTGCATTCGTGGAATCTTATCACTGTAAAGATGGGCGAAAACCTATTTGCCTATTCTAAACTACTGGGCATATCGACTAGAAACTTGTGCAGATGTGTTTTTTTGTTTCTGCCTTCAATGAAGCAATTTTTATTTTGCATGTTTTGATATACCTGTAGGTATAGCGGCATATTGCATATACTACTCCATATTTTTGGTTTTACTGCATATAAATGCATATTTTATACATATTTTTTGCTGTTATTTTCATTGCTAAAAAGTTTTCGCTTGGCATCTGAGTAACCAGGTAGATGGGTATTAAGGGGACAATGCGATTATATATGTTAGGGAGCGGTAATTCAATGGCTGGTGGACCAAGGGATTTGGTAAATTTTCTTAGAACCGTTTGCTTCTTCAACGAAAATTTTAGTTGTTAATTCTTTTAATGCTTGAAAGTCCGGTCTTATGACTTTATTAGTGAAAATGTAAGCTTAAAACTGTAGTAGAGTAATTAATTTGGTAGTAGATAATTTTAAGCCGAATCATTTAGTTTTTTATGAAAAGTATGTATATTACACCACATTTTCCCATCCCCTACACAATAGGAGAAATAATACTGCGAATCTGTTCCATTCTGTTTACTTTCTTCGAGATAATACATGTTTCGAGTTGAAACTTCAAAATGTCGAAAGTCGGAAGTTCAAAGAGTAAACATTGAAACACAAAAAATAATTTCGGAGGATTCCATGATCGTTTTCCGGGTTGGGACCGTGTCAATTGAGTTTTTGGGGAGGCCTCTGGTATGACTGATACGCTGAGTTGCCGTGTTTTTTTGCCTTCTTCCAAATTTCTCAACCTTGAACATGCCACTTACGAAAGTGTGCGAAACGTTGAACCGAAAAACTCAGTCCCAACCCGGAAAACGATCATACACAAAAAATAGTTTAAATGGAAAATACATTGATGAACGGAAGAAATCAAAAAGATTTTTTTTTTACAAAAGGATTATTTAAATATTTTGCGATGTGAGAAAGAGTATCTTAGACCTGATTTACAGAAGCTCAATTAAATATTTAATTGCCATTACATGGCGTTAAAGTACCACGTGATCGACTCTAGGCCAATAAGACTTCGCTAAATGCCTCGTTAAATGCGTGATTAACTTATTATTAGTTAAAATATTCTATAAACTGGCCCTAAGTGTGTGAAAATACAGTGTAGAAACTACTTACGGAATGAATTCAGTAATTCTAAAACTAATGGTATTTATCAAAAACCCCGAAACACGTACATTTGTATTTCTAATTACGCCCTTTTTAAGTTGCTATATACATCTATTTGTAACTTCATTGTCTTTCGAGTTATCGTGTCTTGCATTATTTTAAATAGAATGCTCTGTTTTTTATGTTATTTGCAGATAGTACCTTTAAAGAGCTTTTCAAAAAACCGATACTTGTTACACAATTTTACAAAATGGTTAACGTCTTGAACAAGTGAAGAAACCCAATAGAGTGTAATTAGAAATAAAAATTGACTTGTATGTTTCAGCGTTTTCGACATATATCAATTTTATTCGTTTTCCAGTTACTGAATTTATTCCACAAAGAAGAAAAATTGGTCTAAAGAGTTTAGACAGTACTTCCCTCGCTGTAGGAAACTTGACGACTGCATGCCTATTGTGTTTTTTTTCTCATTACATTTTTGTAGTGGGAATTTAAAAAAAAATTGCGATGACGTCATCAACATTTTTGCAAGGACACGTATATCAGTTGGGATAGATGTAGTGTAATACTAAGAATAAAATTATTATATTCTCAAATTTTCGGGAAAATGAATTGGGTCGTTTTGAATATTGATTTGTAATAATCAATAAAATAACGAAACAATTTACTCACGTATACGTATCAGAGGCAACTGAAAATCGTGTATGTATAAACATTCTTAATTTAAGATGACAGGCGTAACAGCATACGTGAGAGTCAAACAGAGAAACTGTAAACAAAACGACCATCGGTTTTATTGCTTCGACTTCCGCTTATTATATAAAACATTGGGTTTTATTTTAATTCTTGACGGTGAAATTCACAATTGGTTGATTATAAACATGTCTATTTCACATTCGCGGAACCAAGTGAGCGCATAAAACAAATGCAGGTCTGTAATGTTAAAGTCGATGTAAATAAGCGTGCTACCCTTATGTTTCAACCGAGTATTTCCTTTAACAAATTTTGTGTCTACCAAATTGGGTTGGTTGGGGTGTAATCCTAATAATAAGTGTTGCCTTTAATTTAATCAATAAAATAAATTGACTTCATTAATTTTTTTGAATCACCTCTTAAGAAAATCTAAAAAATATGAATGGAATGATAAATCACAAGTACAAACTCATCGTATTTTTTGCATTTTAGATAGGATTTATTCAGCAAAATTTAAGGGTGACGTCATCAATTTTTTTAGGAGGGATGAACAAATACATTTTGAACAAAAGTTTACCATGCTTATAATAACTTTAAAATATTCCCAAGATTTCAAAGCATTCGGTTTTGTAATTCCTGATTAAATCAATAAAATAAATTTACGCATTCATTAATTTTTTTGAGTCACCCTGTATATGCAAATCGAAAAAATTTGAATGGAATGATAAATCACAAGAAGAGACTCACCATATTTTGTACATTTTAGATAGGATTTATTCAGCAAAATTTTGTGGTGACGTCATAAATTTTTTAGGGGGGACGACCAAATACGTTTTGATCAAAAATTTACCATGCTTATGATAATTTTAAAATATCTTCAAGATTTCGAAGCATTCGGTTTTGTAGTTCCTGAGTAAATCAGTAAAATAAATGTACGCTTTCATTTATTTTCTTGAATCACCCTGTATATGCAAATCCAAAAAATATGAATGGAGTGATAGATCACAAGTACAGACTCATCATATTTTGTACATTTTAGATATGATTTATTCCACAAACTTTTGAGCTGACGTCATCAAGTTTTTGGAGGGGATAAGCAAATATTTTTTGACTAAAGATTTATGATGCTCTTTATAGCCTTAAAACATCTGCAACATTTCAAAGCATTCTGGTTAGCAGATTAAAAATTTCAAAATGTTGTTTTATAATTTTGATTTTTTTTCCAAAAATCTGGACGTTTCGGCTGAAAAGTCGATTCAGAGTTGTAAACTACATGTGTAGGACTATGTTATTTTATACAATTGAAAACCCATTTACTATGTACAATTTTGAAGTGACGTCATCGCATTAGTGGTGGGGATGATTAGACAAATTTTGGTTAGCGTTTTACCATCTACATGATATTCTTAATATAAGTACAAAATTTCACAACAATCGGTCGAGTACTTTCGGAGATTATCTGTCTAATAAAAATCCGGGACGGCAGACGGACAGACGGACAGACGGACGGACAGACGGACGGACAGACGGACGGACAGACGGACGGACAGACGGACGGACAGACGAACGGACAGAAGGACGGACAGACGGACAGACAGACGGAAATGGGAGACCTATTTCTTCGTCTTCTAGGGGTCATGAAAGATCGAGAAAACGTAAAAGTAGAGAGTCGGCCGACGGACTCGATTACAATACTTCTTTGCTTACGCTCGGGAAGTAAAAAGGTATGCAGAATGTCAGCAGGGGAGAAGAAAAAAGAACCGTCGAGTAACATTTTATCGGTTAGTACTGAAGCTGCAACCACGACATCACGAGAAATTAACATGATTCCTTTAAGCTCAGGTATTTCGTTTGGGTGCTCAAAACTGTTCGTTTCATTTCATTTTGGGAAATAAGTTTATAATAATATATATATCATTATTCAACACAAAAAGCGTTTGTGTTAAATTGCCAAAAATATTTCTCACAAGAATACTTATATGTTTTCCAAAAATACAGTTCTTTAATAACTAATCGTCGTTTCGTCGCATGGTGTAAGCATTTTTCCAGTTGCTGTGACTATTTACTTCAAAAAAATTAATCCAATTAAATTGTTTATGTTTCTGCATGACGACCAATAAAAATTGAATTTCAGCCATAATTTTACTGGTGCAAAATTATCATATTTGACATTTAGTTGAAAATAGTAAGTAATATAAGACTAATTTCACTAGCTTTCGTTTTCGTAAGGTACAAAAACATTATATGCACAATTAAAGAAACTTTTGCCTCCTAAATCTCTGAATTCTACACGAACGATGACCACCGCATTTTCTATATTACACTGCCTTTGTTTTGGTGTTCCATGGAGTCTTGATTATGCTTTCCTTATATTCTGTAAAATATTTTTTGATGTGATCTGCATCACTATACGTTGCTCCTTCAAGTACGAAATCTTCGATATTAAAACAGAGTCAGAAATATTTATGTGTACGTATAATTGGAAAATTTAACGTTTTAAAAAAACTGACAACGCGCTAAATGTTTTCAGTCATATAAGTCATATAATCATCAACATAAAAAATCCCCATCGAAGAATGCACCGGTATCCAACATTATCCTCAATTTGACAGGGTTGTTGCAAAGTGAACCGAATTTACGGTATAATAATCTTTCAGCATGGGATGTTAAATAACATCAACAACAGTTTTAGTTACATTTTATGGAAAAGTTAAACGGACTATCTTTAACCATTAAAAAATTAGTTGCATGCCCCACAAATCCCAAACAATAATATCACTTTTTCTAATAAGATAATGTGTATTAGGAGCTTCCAAAAAAATCTAGTTATTTGCTCTCCGTTCACAACGGCCGCCTTCTTCGGCTTGTAATTTTCAGATTTTCAATTTAAGAACGTAAATAATTTTCCATATCTAAAAAAACACTTGAAATCATGACCCTTAATTTGTGACGTTTTGACACTTACCCGAAAATATCGATACAAACTATTTGGAGCAATGTTAGAGGAGCCGGGCAGATAGGCAGGCAGGCAGACAGACAGACTAACGGAAACGGGAAACCCATTTTTTCGTACTCTAAGGGTCATGGCCCATTGAGAAAGTTTGAAAGCAGCCAGTCGCCTAATGAACTAGACTAGAGTACAATATTTCCTTAGCTTCCCCTCGGGAAATAAAAATGAAAAATAAGTTCCTAAAAAAAGGACTTCGGATTTAATATGAATAAGTTAAATGGTGAAGACTATAAAGAGGAAGTTGTAAAGACTATATAAGGTAACGATCGATCCGTTAAAAGACGTCATATTCCCAGATGCCAGAAAAACATATGACACAAAACGAAAAAAACTTTTGAGTGATATTAATAACAGAAAAGTAGTGCAGCTAGTTTAAATCTTGAAGAATATGATAAAATTGTTGGTCTTTGTTTGGGATGAAGACTGTTGCCAACGAAAACTTTGTCACATAGCAGCCTGTGAACTTGCTTGGCGTGGCGAAGAAGCAGCTAAATGTTACATTGCACATACGAAGAAAGGCGAATTAACTGAACGTCTAATCTAAATTTGCATATAAGAATTTTGTCAATCAATAATTATTATAAATAAATTACAATTTCTTCAGTAAGAAAAATTATTATCAAAAATGCACTAGTGCAAATTATTGGTAATTGCCCTAGTGGAAAATTACCGTCTAATTCGACACTAATTGGTTGATTTTTAAAAATTGAAGGCTTCTTATTGTCGTAAAATAATATGAGGGAAATAGTCAAAACAATTTCAGCAGAAACAGTGGATAACATTTTAGTAATAGGTAAGTAAAAAAGTAACATTTAACGCACCGTGATGTGATATTATTTGGTCCTATATTCAAAACTTCATCAACATTTTGTGAAAAATAATTCAGTAATTTTTAGTTTTTTAATGTCAGATCTGTAGGTTTTAATTTAACTTTGTTGTTTTAGTACATTTTTTGAGTTGTTCACACTGAACAGGTGAAAAATAAAGTAATAAAGGAATCTGTAATGGAGGATATATCTCTTTTTATTAATATTCTCATACATAAATGACGATATTTCACTGACTCACGGCTTCAAACGAAGCTTGCCATCCAGCTCCATCATTATTAATAGAAGATTGGTATTTTACTAAAATGTGTGAATTTGAGTAAAGAACAGCTGGGTTTTCCTAAAATTAAAAAAAATATTACTAAATTAACTCAAGGATAAAGAATTTAATCACATTTTTACAAAATCGGTGTTCATTTCCGTCTTCTTTCTCATATGTGGTCACTTTTACATAATTGTGGTCACATTCGCCTCGAACGTCAAAAACTACAATGCAGGGTGAGCTTGTGAAAATACACACGTATTAGTAATGTAATTACCAGAAAATTTAATAGCCACCCTCATGCCGACAGGAACTCGGATATTCCATTCGCATGGAGTGCTATTTTTATAGCCCAGAGGATATAAAGGACTAGTAAATGATCCCTTGTAGTTGTACAAAGTACCACCACACCCCTTTCCTTGATCCGACGATGTATAAACAAAATCGTAGCTTGCTGGCCACCTGTCGCCCATTTGATTCCAAGAATGTAACCACAACTTATTCGTCGTTGAGAAAATTGGATTTGGTAACGCGTAACCGCAAACTTTTTGCAACAGAGTAGCAGATTGGTTTCCTCCATCGCGTATTTCTACACCAACCTTTTCGCAGTCGTTCAAATGGTACATCACAAACTGCTGGAAATAAGCCGAAATTGTGTAGTTCTTAGGTACGGTAATTGTTTGAAAACACTCATTCGTAATGGTGTTGACAACACGTCCTTGTAAGGAGGTGTAGTTTCTGTTGCAACCTATTTAACAATAACACCATTGTGGACCACTTATTGCAGTGTTCTATATTTACTTACCTATTGTGTGATACTCTGCTTTGAATCCTTTGCCGCGGTTTCGGTCATTGTTACCACTTGAGAACTTGATTACTATAGTATTTAAGTTTGAGTAGTAGTCAAACGGTCCGTCGGATTTACCGCAAAACTGATGAGTGCCTGTCATTAAGGAATATCTCTGGAACATTATAAACCAAAATATACATTTTAAGAATTTTTGGATGAAAGTAGAGATCGGAAATGTGTAAAGTGTTTATGGATTTTATAAGCTGATGTGACAAATCAAAATCAAGAAATTCTCGGACGCTTCAAATAACTCAGCATGTAACGCAATTAATAAAATGATTTTTAAAATTCAATCGAATACACTAACAATTTTCTTGCTAGTTTTTCGAGAAACTCCAAAACAGTCGAATTTTGTAGTATTGGTCCATGTCTTTCGGTATGTCCTGTCAAAGCCGTCTGTTTCTTTGCTTTCTGTTTTTCTCTAACTATTGCCCAAACTGGTTCGCCGTGATTTCGGGTTGATAAATCTATTAAGGCCGACGAAATCGTTTTCGTTTACGAGAAGATGACTTTTTTAGCAGTTATCTATTCTTTAAAGTCGCAAATCTTTCCATATCCATTTCTATTCCAGTTGTATTTTCAGAAAATCATCATAAAAACGAGTAGTTTCTATGTATCAATCTTATATTCTAATCCATTTTCTCACGAACTTCTTTGAAAACGGAACGAGTGAAACATAGCTTAGCTTCTGTGACTTTTCATGTCTCTTTGTCGCGTTTTTGCTGATAAGTCTTTAGATAGGCCACAGAAGCACTCAAAATTTTATAAAATAAATTTTTCTTCCTGTAACAATTTCTAGACCTATCTCATACGGTTTCAGTCAATTCTTTTCTCAAACTAAAAATCCATAGAATACGGGTCGATTCCAAAAACAGATATATGTATGGCGGAAATTCTAGAAGTTTCTCGACTAGGAAAAATTTGCCATGATTGTTGAAGAAGTTTCCTTCGCCATCATGAATTAATGGTACATAAAGGGGTAGCTTTTGTTTGCAAAATGTTACTGATATTCTTCCAACATGAATAGGTACTCTTTTATTGAGAACGTAAATTTATACTAGTCTGGGACATAGGATTAATTGGTTTTTTTTCGATTTAATGGGTGTTCAACAGAAATAATGTCATCAAGCTGGTGTTGCTTTTGTGATAGAATAAAACGTAGCGATACGTGTATATGTTTTATAAATTAATCCATACTGTTTTGTCTAGTTCTCAATTTCAGGATTGCCATCGATTAAATTTAAGTTTATTATGGAGATAATTCACACTGTTTACAAAAAACTATGGCCAATTTAATGAAATGTTTTCTGAATACTTAAAAATGATGTGCAATGTGGGATGTCAGCTACATACAGGGTCGCTAAAAATTATGGAAGCAATTGAGTATCGCGAGAACGGTTTGTTGAATCTTTTTTGAAATTTGAGCTGTCCCTAGGAATACTCAATTTCTACTATCTGCAATTTTTTCAAATTTTATTCTTCATTTGTTTTTGGGATGCAGGGATAACTTGAGTTTAAATTGCACTAGTAGTCAAATGTTCCGTTTTTAAATAGGGCATTTTTTTATGAATTCCGAAATGTAACCCATGCATTATTTTAGTTTCTCCCAACATTTTTCCCATGGTAAAATAAATTATGAAAATAAAAATACTGAAAATCAGAACATCGTAGCTAGCTTTGACAATACTGTCACATGTCATACTCCTGGTGTATGCCACTTTATTCAAAAATTATACTAGTGCAAAATCATTATAGAACTCCGGGTACATAAACTGAACTAAAGGTGACAGCGTAATATATTGATTTAAATGTTGTTTAAATAATAATACTCCGATTTAATGATTGTAAATAGAAGCAATGGAAGCGTATTGAAAAATTTAATTAAAAAATTCCATTATTGAAAACAGATCAAATTAAAATTTAAAAAACAATAATGTTATAACAAATGTTCAAATGTTCTTCATTTACTTCCTGGCAATAATAAATCAGTAATAGTATCAGAAATCATACTTAATATTCTTTCTTGGAGTTCTACGATGCTTTGCGGTCTATTAACAAAAACTCAATTTTTTAGATAACCTCACAGAAAAAAGTCAAGGAGGGTTAAATCGGGTGACATAGCTGACCACTCAACTGTTCCCCTTCGTCCTATACCCTTTCCAGGAAAAGTTTCATTTATTCGTTTAAGTATGCCGTACTTGACGTCCGAAGTGAGATGGTGCTCCATCTTGTTGGAACCAGAAGGACTCTGTACGTAAATTGGGGTTTTCATAGTTGGGAAATATTTTTGTTCAAATTTCAAGAAGATCTAGGGCCGGTTTATAGAAGCGCGAGTTAAATATTTAATCCTCGATTAATTTAACACTGTATTAAAATGTGGAATGAGAGCTCGTGATTGGTTAAAACCTGCACGTCGCCTAGCAACGAACCTCAATTAAAAGTTAATCGCGAATTAACTTTAACTTCGGTTTCTATAAACCAGGTCTTAATTAACTGTTGCCGAGATATTTAACTGCTTCCATACTTTTTAGCAACCCTGTATTCGGCCATGCGTTCAAAAACATTTGGTCATCGAATAGTAACTAGAGAAGATTTATTCTTTATTACACTTTATATCGAGCATTTAAACATCACAGCGTCGTCTTAAAAGTTGGTGTTAATTTTTTATAATGTACATATATATATTCGTCCTTGGTTTATAGACGACATATTATGTATATATTATTAATAAATCTTTTATATATTCCAACCTTGTTAATGCAACTTTACTGACTCTTATTGCTCCTGTATACTACGTTGAAAGTTGCGTTGTCATTTTTAAGTCGTTTCCAGCTTTGAAAATACCCTATTCCACCGTCCGCCGAGTATCACTTACGATATAAAAATATATTTATTCTATTTTAGAATCGTAATCTTGTTTATGAACACTCAAATGCGGGCGTAAGTTGGCGTTTATCCCACAAATCTGTCAAAAATTGCTAAGCAACCATTGATTGTTCATTTACACTAATCAATTAATTATTCAAAGAAGCTTAGATATTCAGCATTTTTTTTAAGTTGGAAAAATAATATTTTATCAAATCATTATCTGACCGACTTCAAATCCTTCTAAACTTTCTTTTGAATAAACGTTTTCCGCTTCTTTAATTTGCATTTTGAAAAACAAATTATCAAGTAATCAACATGGTATCCATAACAACATCAAAATAATAGCCAGCTATGTATTAAAATTTTCATCGGCACAATTCACAAAATCTTGCCGAAAATAAAAAATATTTCGTTAAAAATGGTTTAGAAACTGAAATAGAATAAAACGTTGTATGTACCACGTCCCTAATTATGCCCTTAATACAGAAATAACTATTGTTAATTAACGAGTTTATTGTATAAAAAGGTAGGTGTTTACTTACAGCGAAATCTGTAGTTTTTCTTCTGTTCCCAGAAATCAAAAATCCAGGACCGAAACCATCCGAAAGTAGATTATTCTGAAAATAAAAATAAATAAACATTTAGGAAAGACATTATAGTACTTAGAATTAGATGTGAACAAAACTGTGTATGATTATTGCTGTCTAGCAGGCTAACAACAAAATTTATAGTGTTCAGAATTCTACTACATTCATTTCGATAAGTCTCGCGGCAATGGCAGATCTGTATTTTCGGGATCTACAGACTAAGAAAACTAAATTAAAGTACTTTATTACAGCATTTCTCATGGTTATTGATTAAATATCAAACGCATCTTCTATCTAAACTTTAATAACTGTTTGGTTTATTGCATAAATCGCTAAAGAAATTCAATTTATATTGCTATCAAATCAGATATCCATTTGTTGTTTTCTCGAATTTACTGTTTTATACAGTGAAATTATACATAAGTAAGTTTATTTTGCCCTAAGGGCTTAAATTGTTCTTGATTTAGAAAAATATTTATCCACTATATGTAAAATACAACGTAACTTCTTGTTTATTGATAGTAATACGAGCAAATAAACATTTTTTATCCTTTATTTCATTTCTCTTTGTCCAAGCCTTACACTGGTCCTCTCCACTTCTTTCACCCAGCGTTTCCCTCTTCCACTTTCATTCAATATTTCTGTCACACTCTCTAGATTCTGGATTCTAAATTTTGGGTGCTGACCGAAGCGAGCCGGCATTTAGGCCTCGCCTTTGGTCCCATTGTACCTTGTTTTCCCGCTCCTCTACTCGTCAAGCCACCCAACTGCTTGAATGTACTCGAGTAATGCAGAGAGCGGGAACTACCTGATTTTTGCCATACTAGGCCAGTTGTCCTCTAGTATGGATTTCCTGTAGGAGGCTAGCGCTGGACACTCACGAAGAAGGTGCTGTTTCCTCTTCTTCATTGCATCCACGACAGATTGGGTCTGTTACCACCCCTATCGTATGTAGATGTTTGTTAAACTGGTAATGTCCCATGAGGAATCCTAGCAGTTTGTGCAATTTGTCCCTTGAAAGTGAGAGATAAAATTTCGTCAACTTACGGTCTGGTGTCGCTATACAAGCTCTACTTTGCCGACAGCTGCTCATCGTTGTCCATATTTGCTCATGGCGTCTATGGGTATATTGCTTTACAAGTTCATTCTAGAGGGCGATCGAAGGAGTGATTGCCGGTTCGGGTCCCCAGAAGGGCATGCTCGCTTCGCCATCTCATCTGCCCTCTCGTTTCCTTCGTTACCACTGTGTCCTTTGACCCAAGAAAGTTCTACACTGCTTCTCTGCGATACATACCTTAGCGTTTGTCTGCACTCCCAAACCAGCACGGACCGAACCATGCAGCTGTCCAGGGCTAGTAGTGCAGACTTGCTATCAGTAAGTATGCGTGTTCATTTGTTGCCGATTTTACGTTCAGCAATAATTCTAGCTCCCAACATTATTCCCATCAGTTCTATTTGTAAGACAGACGTGTGGGTGCCGAGAGGTACACTAATTTGTGCGTTCAGTTGTTCGGAGTAGATGCCGGCTCCTGAACAACTATCTGTTTTGCCATCGTCGACATAGATGTCGATGTCGGTCTTCCGTTTGAATTATCATTCATTTATATTCTATATGTCTTCTCATATATTAATTTTGTGCCCATTGGGTCACAACCCATCCTTAACAAGGGTATTCTGTTGAACGCCTCTGTCAAGATGCGAGTGTGCTTCGTTATGCGGCCTTGCTTGTTCCATACTCCCAGAGTGTGAAGTCTTAGAGACATCCTCATTGCCGCTTCCTCTATGTAAAGGTTAAGAGGTGCTATGCAAAGAAGTGTCTCCAGAGCCGCCGTGGGAGTGGTTTTCATTGCTCCTGTAACACTGAGACACGCCATTCTCTGAACGTGTTCAAGTTGCAGGGCTGTTGTTTTTTGTCTGGCTCAGGAACGCCAAACTAAAGCTCCGTAACATAGCATCGGTCTGACTATCGCCGTGTAGATCCAGAGGCCGATCTTGCGGTTTAGACCCCAAGACCTTCCCACTACCCTACGACATTGCCAAAGAGCCAAGCGTGCTTTTCCCACTTTATCATCTACATGCTTCTTCCAATTCAGTCGCCAGTCCAATACAACTCCCAGATATTTGACTTCGTCCAAAAGTTGAAGCGTTGTGTTAAATAATTTTGGCATCTGTAGTGTGCCAATTTTTCTTTTCCTAGCAAACAGGATTAATTTCGTCTTCTCTCCATTAACGGAGAGTGTATGCCTGCTGCACCATTTCTCGACTATTGCATTATTTCACATAATGTTTCTGCGTTTTATCCTGTTAGCAAAATGACAGATCATCTGCGTATCCAATTGTGTGGTAGCCAAGATCATTGAGGCATCGTATCAGGCTATCAACGACAGTATCCCACAGTACAGGAGAGAGTACTCCTCCCTGGGGACATCCCCTGTCTACAACAGCCTCGATCTCAGTGCCACCTACATTGATCAGTAGTTCCGTATTCCTCAACATACCGGTCACTCACGTTGTGCTCTTCTAAGGCTAGTTTTATGCTTTTGAAGGTCGTTTTATCGAAGGCTCCATCAATATCCAAGAACATTCCTAAGGTGGAGAGTTTGTTCTCCATCGTCCACTCTGTACGGTTTACAACTGTGTGTAAGGCTGTATCCGTAGATCTTCCTTGGATGTAGACATCTTGGTTCGGATGTAGAGGTTGCTTGCTCAGAGCGGTCACACTTTCTTCTTTTTCTTTAATTTCTTCACAGTCGTGTAACGTGTGTTGTTCTAATGTCTCTTTTGCTTCTCCGCACACCCTACATATTCTCCCGCCTTCACCCAACTATATTTTTTTTTTCTTTATTTGCACACCTAAATCTTGCAATTAATTTTCTGCATTGTGCTTTCTCTATCTAGGTATGGTAGTTCCAGAGTGACTTCGTTTTTACGTCTGTATCTTGTTGTGGAAGAGTTAAGTTCCTCTACAATAGGCCGATTTTGTCCACATCCATAGTTTCAGCGAATGAAAGCGGATCCGGCCCTACATTTCGAGCTTTGAAAGATGATTTACGCCACGAATATTTACACTTTCATTAGAGCTCCTAATGCTAGCGGTACTTGAGTTTGTAGACCATAAAAACGAAGTCAGTCTGAGAGTACTTACTATACTTTGCATTGTCTCTGCCATTATCTTTATAAAACCCCTATTGTACATAGATTCCTTTATACTCGCTTATAGTCTTGCTTCTTATGTCTTTGTGACGCATACACAACTCTTTTTTCTCACTCACCCCCATTTTGCTCTTTCTATTTCCATCCATGCGTTTTCCTCAGCGTTCATACAATATCTTACATTCCTCTCTATCGTTCAACATTTCAGCATATTTTACTGCTCTCTGCCCGATATATACTCTTAATTTCTTTCGCTTACTCTACAATCTGCCGTCTTTCTCCTAAGTTCTAACATCCACCGCAAATATTTTAGGGGACATTAGATTAATTTGTATCATTTGTTAACAAAAAAAAAAGAAAATATTAGTTCTGCTGCACTAACCGTCTCGTCTATAATCTCTACTTTATCTTCGTTACAAACGTTGTTCACAATATGTTGATTATTTTCTTCATTCAGGTCGAAATCGACAAAACGAACCACGAATTTTCCATAACCATTATTATTTTTTATGATCCATGCACATTTTATATCACTGGGGTATTTATTAGGATAACCAGGAGAAACTATGGTCTGGATATCTTTTGTAGCATTTAAGTAAATGGGGCCACAAATTGCTGAAAACCGAATCGTAAATAGAAATGTCCATTGTTGTGATAAATATTTACATGGTGTAGCTTTCAAAGTAATTTTAAAAGCTCTCCTTACAATTCCTCTTGTAAAAAGTCGTATGCCCATGCTGTTGCTTGTACTCGACAGTTCTCTTGCAAAACTTGTGCTTGTAAGACCACAGAATTTTTCAATTATCTCTGCCACGGATGGGTGTCCATCTCTAACCTATAATTAAAATGATATAGACCAAATACGACGTCGTGGAACCAATCGTTTACTTCCAAATATCCACAGCTACAATTCCTAAAGGTATGATTACTTGAACCACACGTAGTAGGTAATTTGAATTCATCAAAATGAAGTTTGATTGTGGTACCAATATCTGACTGAATTGTCCAGAAACAATCCATATCTGATAGATCTGGTGCAGTCAGTGTTGCAGCTACACTTCCGTTAAGTTTTATTTTTCCGCCACATCCAGACGCAGGTCCTGAAATTACAAAATCAGTACCACTACGAACGACGATATTTTATTTACATACCATCCGCAAAGTAAACTTCAGCCTTAAAACCAGCATGATTTGCAGTACGATCAGCTTTCAGCACTATCAGTACTGTATTGTTTTCTGATTTAATGCTCGGGAGATTTTTATTCAAATTACCACATAAATTAGCAATTCTTTTTGATCTTAATACAGCAGATCCTTCGTAAATCTCAACGTTATCGAAATAACAGTTGCGTCTGTAGTCGAAATTGAACTCTTGGAAATTAACGACAATCATCTTTTTTGGTGGAGCGGTGATGTTCCAGACGCAATTTAAGTACCCATGGTATAAACCAGGTGTTTTTTCGATATTCATGGGAGGTGAATTTATTACTCTTGCTGATTTAATTTCACCACCACAAGCTAAACATAATTTGTTGTCTTGTTCGAAATTTTGGTATTGTATGATTAAACTTACTGTCAAGTTGATAAGAAAATCTGAATCCTGATTTCTGCACCCACGCATCTGTTTGGAAAAGTATGTAAATTTTGTTAGCCAGTCGAATATTTGGGGGAATACGCTGACCACAAAAGACTTGACGATACATGGATGCTATGTGTACATATCTTACGCCAGAAATATAATTGTTAATAGTTAGATTATCGAATCTGCAATTTGATCCCACTAAAAATACAAGAAGAAAATTGTTCTTCCTGACGTCAAACACTTACTGCCTTCTAATTGGAACTGATAAAACTTTATGTTGACATACTGGGATGGATTCTTTGAGGAGATGTTGTATTCACACCGCATATTTTTCTTGTATAAAAGTGGATATCCCGGACTCACAATGAAACGTTCAGTGGCATCAGCGATGAAAGTGCCTCCACAGTTCCATTCCCACTTCGCCTGTGAAATAAATAAGAAAGTGAGAAATTTCCGCTGGCAGCAGGTGATGTTAAACCCACTCTAAAACCTTTACCGCCAATTCTTTCGTTACTTCTAAACAAAATCTTCATTCTGTTAGAGGTAGCGTTTATCGACTCTGGAATTTCTCGGCCGCATTTCTTTCCTAAAGAAAACCACTCATCATTTCTCCAATCCCATATTTCAACAAAATCGTTTTCACAGTTGTCGCTTTGTTCTATTTGAAATCTAGTCATAAACGTAAGCCCAATGTGGTACCCTTCATCACTTCTAAGTTCCCATAAGCACTCTGCATTGTTAGGGTAATCATCAGGGAAAGAGGGAGTTTGGATTATTCGATTTTGGCTATGGAACAAACCACCGCATCCTGAAAAATTCACTTTAACAACTTAAGAATTTGATTTGTTCAAATTACCTTGTATTTTTGGTTCATATTTCAGACTAAAACCTTTTCCGTTTGACTCTTGGTCATATTTATATTCAATCCATAAAATATTAGATTCTGATCTTATGGAATCAGGTTTGTTGTTTTGGCAGTACCTATCAATCTTCGGACTGCTCGGCGAATTCCCGTTGTATATATCCAGATAGCTCTTTGCGCAATTGTCCCCCAAATCGAGATTCTCAAATGTTAATAGAATAGTTTGTTCCTCTGGTAATTTTAACAACCACGCACATTCGATCGATGATGAGTACTTGTTTGGGTAACCAGGGCTTCTGATAACCCCCGTTTCGCTACTTATGACTCCACCACATTTGTATGTGTTATAAGACATTGTGTAGTTGACAGTACTTCGACTTGTAGTTTGCATGAACGTTAGTTTTAAGTTTGAATAAGGAGATCGGATGACTGTTGTACTAGGAATACATTGTATGGTCTGAAGAGGTGATTTGGCCTCATCTAAAATAAAGTTAAAGAAAATCTTTTACGTCAAGCGATGATTTAAAATTGGCATCGAGAAGGCCATAACAAAAATTCGGCCGTGGAGTGAATTACACGATTTTCCGTTAGGTGTAGAGTTATTGAGTCAGTTGAAACCTCTTGAATTCCACGTACAAAATATAGTGCATTTTGTTTGTTGTTTTGGCATGTGCGACAATTTTTTTATGATACATTTTTTTTTGTTTCGTAATACTTCTCGACCCCACAAATGGTTAGACGATGGCAAGCAAAACTATACCTGACTCCACTTTAATCGTGGCTAAATATTGGAAACAGCTTGTTTTACCACCCGGATTAGTATTATTCGTAGTAGTGGTAATAGTCATCGCAAAAGTTTTTCCTTGGTACTGTTGATTTCGAATGTAAGTACAAAAATAAGGATATGGAATATTTGGCTGAGTAATAGTACCACTGTCTTCATTTAGATCACCTTGGCATCCTATATTTCAACAAACTAGAAAATATTGATCAAATATAGAAATTACCACATACTTGTAGGTTCATTAGAAGAGAACTTTAATTTAAATCCGCGTCCAGTTTTCCCTGAAGACCAATAGTAAATAAACATGTGATTTTCCGAAGACTCGACAGTCTTTTCGTTATTCGAAGAAATTTTTTTAAGAAAACTTCGGAAACTGTTTTCGTTATAAAATGCTAATCCATTTATCCACGTAGCTAATAATCGATTGTCTAAGCCGAAATCCTCGATATTTACAGTCACGCGTCGACCACGTGGTACCTTGACGTACCAACCGCATCTTCTTAGGGTTTCATGAGGTGCTGGATAACCTGGAGATTGAATTGTACCTTCTGCAGCCTCAATGACACCACCACAAACTGAAATGAAATGATCCAACTATTTGAAATTTTCTGTGATTATGAAAGTACCTTCTCGGCTTGAGTTAAAATTTAACGAGAAGCCGCTTAAATCTTTTTTTACTTGGTTCGTCAGGAAATTAACGAGCACTTCGTTTCCAGCTGAATTTAGTTCACTCGGAAGTTTTTTCCCGCAGAATTTACCGAGGGTAGTTTCTAAAATTTTGTTATACATATATTCAGAGTGTACCAGCTTTGTTAAACGTACTCGTGTTGTCCACTTGATTTTCTTCATAAATCCACACATGGTCACTTGTACATCCAAAACTTTCTTCTAAATCGATTTTATTGAACTTTATATTCATACTGTGATCAGGTGGTGACACTAAGTGCCAAGTGCAGTTTGCGCCGACGGGATACTTAGAAGGATTGTTGAAGTAAGGTGATCGAATTTGGCCCATTTTACCGTTGACAGTTCCGCCACAATAAGCTGAAATCGATGTTAATTTTTTTTTAAGGAAGTCTTAAATTTAAAAGTTAATAATGTTAGAATAATGGTCTAAGTATTGAATTCAAGCGTCACAAAAATTAAAAACAGTGGAGAAGAAAGGATTACAATCCATAGTTGAGTCAGTAGATAAGAAATTCAGTAAAATTTAAAAAATGGTTGCTGATATTTCAGATGCTGTTATATATTGTCAATTAGCCTATAGTTAAAGTGGACTCTAAGTAAAGTTTCAAAAAATTCTTACCATATTTTACTAAACTATGCTCTTTAGCTTCCTAGAAGTGTGCCACTCAAAGTGGTAAGTTTAATATTTTGTAACATTGGTAATTTGAATTAAAATTAGTTTGAAGTTGAAAGCATTATCTCTGACTCAAAATATGTAAAATAGAAGATTGGAGATAGAAAGCATTGTTTAAATTTGTAATAAGTATTCGACAAAAAAAAAAAAAAGAATTGTTGAGAATTTCAGCTTACGGAGAAATTTATAAGAAAATCCAAATTGTAACAATTAGAATACGAGTCGAGGAAATTGCCTGTGAATATATATACATATCTTGAAAAATTAATGACTGGTGTAAAGCGACCAAAATCGAAACCATTAATCTACTTATTTTATTCGCTCTTACCAAGAGTTAATTTTGCCTTAAAACCGTTGCTCGGATCAGTTAACTGAGTGAAGAATTTTACAAACATCATGTTGTTAGTTGTGAACTGGGAATTTGGTTTATTGCCACAGAATTTTCCTATTAACTTCGAATATATAGTAGCACCATCCCGTATTTCCACATACTCCTTATTACATCTAAAACACGACTGTCCGCAAAATATTCATACTTGTTAAAACTTACTCTTTGTCGTTGGTTACGTCAAATCTAAACGGAAAATCAATCCGGATTATTTCGCCAGGAGGACCAATGATCCTCCAAACACATTCAATATGCGGAGGAGGTATTTGAGGGTAATTAGGCGAGCTAATTTCAGTAACATTTTCAAACTGGTTTAAGGTTATTTCTCCACCGCACGCGTAGGAAACTTCTCGGTAACGCATTTTGAAATTCTGTTAGGAAATTTAATAATTAAACAGAATTATAACTGTTATTTAAAATTTACGGCTGCCAAAGATTGTCCTTGGTATTTAATGTACGCATTATTGCCAGTTGTTTTAAGTATTGAGGGAAGTTGATCACCGCAGTATTTACCATCTCCTAAAATCGGAGAATCCGAAAAGATCCCATTACGGATCTAAAATACCAAAGTTGGAATAGTCTATACATGAAGAATATTCCGCCTACCATTAGATAGTTATTGCAACCCTTTTCCTTATCGTGTAATATATCGAATTGTAAGAATTCTATCTCTATCGTTTTTCCAGCACCAACCGTGATATTCCATTGACACTATAATTTCTTTAAAAATAAACAATGGATTAAATTAATAATCTTACCGTGGCGGAGTATCTCGAAACTAAACTCTGCCTTGTATTGTTGTCATACACGATGTAATTCGTAGGTTCCGTCAAATAACCGCCGCATGCTAAAATTGTTCAAGTTCATAATTTATACTTAATTGAATTACCTACGTTAATGAATTACCTTCTCGTACAAAGGCCGCAAATCCAGTGCGATTTCCATAGTTATCCGTTTTAAAAATGACCTTCATCATATTTGAAGTATAGATGAGAGACCTAGAGGTAACGTTTTCGTGACAAGTTTTTATAACACTCTGCCAGTCTGCAGTTTTCTTTTCAAAAACTTCAATGTAATCTCCGTAGCAGGAAGAGCCATAAGAAGGTTGCAAATCCATGTCGGTTAAATAAATAGCTAGCCGATTCATCGAAATCGTAGTGAATATCCATTCACAATTTAGATTTCTTCCGTACCCGTTAGGATATCCAGGAGACGTAATTTTCGTAAAATTTTTCAAACCATTTATATTTACGGGTTCGCTGGTTCCACAGCCTTTGACTACAAGATATCAAGATATTTATTGATATGGAATATTAATTTGGACTTAGTGTTACCATTAGGGATTTGGTCGATTTTAGGAGTGATTGCATCGATTTCTAACCATTCTAGAATGAATCTAGTTATGGATCGGGCCGTGCTGTAACCTCTAAATTTGATGAACAAAATATTAGAAGTGGATTTAATATCTTTTGGTAGCGACGTCCCACAGAACTCATTTATAAGAGCGTCCGTGTCGCTGGAGCCATCGTAAATCTAAAAATATGATTCTAGTTCTTTTATTTGTTGATTTTTCAACTATACCGTGATCGCCGAGAAACACATACTGTCACCGCTTTCTAAATTTATTTCTTTAAAAGTTAATAAAATGCGTTTTCCGTAGTTTACGGTTATTCTCCAAGAATAATCACCATAGAGTGGATGACCCTGATTATACAGTGGTGACACTATTCTTCCGGAATGTCCAGTTAGATCATTTTCATGGTCTGTAATTCAAAGTTTATATCCATTTGGAATTTTCGTTGAAAAATATGTTCTACTTAGAATATATTCTGCTTGGAATCCTTTAGCGGTGATAGCTGATAAATCACCGTCCATAAGGCTGGTTTTTAGGAAAAACCATAAACTACCCATATTAGTGATATTTAACGGTAGATCATCACCACAATATGTCCCCAGAAGTTTTCCAGTTCCATTACTTTGTCTTACTTCCAAGTAGTCGGTATTACAATGTTCGGACTCTAATAATTCAAAGTATGTAAAAGTCACCGATAGGTGGTTTCCTTCGGGAATATCAATTGTCCACTCGCATTCTGTTTCCATTGGATATTTTTTTGGGTAACCGGGAGACGCAAAAATACCTTCAACTGATGTTAGAGTACCGCCACAATCTGAAATACACAAATCAGAATAAAAAATTATTATATTTAAATACCAACGATTATCGAAAATGGAGTAAGTTGCAAACAATACTGAGTTGTATTCTATATCTATGTGCATTGCCGAACCGTCAGTTGTTAAAGTGGGTGGACTTTTTGTTCCACAGTAACTGCCCAACAAGGGGGCATCGGAAGAAGCACCGTTGTAGATTTTTAGAGCACTGAAGCTTTCATCGCAATAACTGCTCATTGTGTCTAAATGAGTGATGGTTAAAGAAACGTGTTTGCTTGGATCTTTAGACACGATAGTCCAGGAGCAATTAAATTCTTCGTAATCTAAATCGTTGGGGTTTAGACGTATGTATCCAGTACCATCAGTTTCAATTCGGGCGCCACATGTCTGAAATTGGCTATATTAGGCTTTATTTTTTGTTTTTATTAACTCACCCTTTTGTAATTTGCTAAGAAGCCTTTAGCTACTACATCTGTTTGTGTCACCATTTCCACATACATTTTATTTGTAGTTGAAATAATAGTGTGATTAGGAGCATCTTTGCCACAGATTTTGGCCAAAATAGGATAGTCTATTGTTGGACCGTCGTACACCTTCACGAAACTGTTATTGTTTGATTCACAGTTGACACCATCTGGTGTAAACAGATCGAAATCTTCGAACTTCAGCGAAATCATGTGTCCTTCTCCGATTTCAATCTGGTAGCTGCATGTATCGTTAACTTCGTAATTTTGAGGATAATTTGGAGACATAATAGTTGCTTTGTCGGCAATATATTTTCCTCCACATTCTGTTAATAAAAAAAATACGCATTGAAAATGATTACATTTAAAATAATAAATCAGCACTTACTTGTAGCTTTTGTAGTATAGTTAGCAATAAATCCTATTCCTTGAACTGACGAATCAGCTTTAAACTTAATATACATCATATTGCCCGAGCTTCTCAAAGTTATCGGTTTATCTTGGTGACAAACGCTAGCGATAATGGGATAAGTATCATCTTCACCGTTATATAGATTAATATAATCCAAATGGCATGTGTAAGTTTTTTCAAGCTCGATTTTATGAAACGTGATCTCTATGTGTTGACCAAAATCAGCTTGAATCTGCCAGTTACATTCAACTGAAGGTGGATATGCGTTGGGATAATTTGGAGAGCTGATTGTTCCATTGGGTCGAGTTAGAATGTCACCACATCCTGTATCGGTAGCATACAAGTTTTAAATTAGATAATGAATAAACGTAAATAAATATAAAAAAGTAAATAATTTTTTGAGGTGACGTATTCTTTCTACAATTCTAAAACGATCAGGAACACAATAACACAAATACAGCAAAAATATAATGTCACATTATAAAATTCAAGAGAAATTTAGAATGAGAGGAGAAAACTTCTGCCACGCTTGGAAAGTAAAAATGTTCAAAAATTAAACAATGAAAAACAAAATTACCCTCAGTCCCGTAGATTGTTAGTTAACTTTTCAAAAATTAATATTTCGTATTTATTTCTGTTAAAACTCTAGATACAGACCTTCAATTTGCCATTCTAATCGAAAACCATTCCCTGTTATTAAGTTATCAGAAACAAAATGAATTTTTGCGTGATTGGATTTCAAAGTAATTAGAGGAGGATCATCACTACCGCAGTAGACACCATACTTTTGGAAAGGACCTTCTTCTTCATATTCTTGAACAGGTTCAATATAGAATATCTAAAATTTTAAGTAAATATTGTTTATGATCCACAATATACATCTGCGAATACCTCTAGATAATCATAAATGCACTTATTGTCAGAATAAGCCGAGTGATCTGGGGCAATTCTTTCTAAATCAAAATGAGAGAATGATATGTTGATATTATTTCTTTCAGCAACTTTGATTTCCCAGTTACAGTTGATAGAACCAGGATAGCTATTGGGGAAATTTGGACTTTCTATAACGCCTCGGAAGCCTTTCAGTGTATTATTACACACTATAAAAATGTGGTAAATCCCAATACAAACTGAATTTACATAATTTTAACTTACTTGTTGTATACTGAAGTTGGAATCCTCTACCGTTTCGACTTAAATCCGATCTGAATCTCACCGTAAGACTGTTGCCAGTAGATCGAATAAACGATGGATGCGAAGTGCAGAATTTTCCCAGCGATTTAGAATTTAGAGATGGACCGTCGAGGATCTACAGCTTTTAGTTTTGAATTGTTAAACAAAAATGATGAATATACCTCAACGTAGTCCAGCTGACATTCCGAATGTTCTTCTAGATCTAAGTCTGAAAAGACGGCCTGAATTAAAGAACCAGTACTGACAGCAATTTTCCATATGCAATCTGTATGGACTGAATATGGTTCCGGGTAGTTTGGAGAAATTATGGAACCCGTTGGACTGCTGAGTGACCCACCACAGCCCGTTGCTGTAGCTTCCCATTTGATTTTAAATCCACGTTCAGACTTCGTCATATCTGAGCGGAAATTGATGTAAACTTTATTGGCATGGGATGGAATTGACTTGGGAATATTTGTTCCACAGAATTTTCCTAACAGAGGAGAAACAGCACTTCCACCGTTTCTATAAATTTTGAATGTGGATTATGTAAGGAAAAGAGTATCTGAGAATTACCTTATCTCTAGCCAATCGTATCGACAAACAGAATAGCTTTCCATGCTAAAATCGATTACTTTCAATAGAATTTGATGGCCGGGTTTAACTTGTATGGTCCATGTGCATTCCATATTCAAAGGGTAGTTTTCTGGATACCCAGGGGATTTCAATGTTCCAGCATCCGTAAAGTAGTTTCCCCCACATACTAAACAAAATAAATAGATTTATTTAAACACATCAGAATATTTACCATTAGCTTCCAAAATAATATTGTATGTTGCTAGGAAACCACTCAGATGTTGTGTTGGGTCTGAATGAAAGTTCACTGTGACCAAGTTGGAGGTGCTAAGCAATGTCGCTGGAATCGTTTGGCCGCAGAACTTTCCAATGGAAGAGCCTTCTCCGGTTTCTGTATTGTTGTCAAACACTTCTACGTAGTCGTACATACATTCGTGACTTCTCTCAAGTTGAAAATTCATCCACATTAACTGAATTATATTTCCCGGAGGAGCTGATATAATCCATTTGCAGGTTTGGTCTCCTGGATAAAGATCTGGGTAACTTGGTGTGGAGAAGGTGCCAGTTTTTTCCTTTAGAATTCCTCCGCATCCTGTAAGAATGGAGATGTATTTGGTTGGTTTCTCTTTTCTGACCAAATACGTGGGACATTTAGAGGACTTGCATTACACGAAGTATTCGGGAAATGGAGACATGACATTGTATTTAAACTAAGTACATAAGTTTGGTTGAAAATTTGAGAAGTTAGACATTTGATTGTCATCAATTACTGAGGATCTACAACATATAGGCCATGTTGTTGTAAATAGAATTCTTAAGAATGGTATCATAAGTGGGAGTGAACATGGAAGAGACATGAGTATGAAAGAGCTTAGAGAAAAAATGTAGACTACGAGGTCTCAAGTATGCCTCAGATAATTATAATAGGAAACGAGAATTTCGACCATTTAAAAAGCAGATTTTTGTAAAGATTCTATAGTATTATATTGGTAAACAAGGAATAATTCAGAACAGATGTAAGAAATAAGTTTAAAGGAAATCTTTCCTAAAATTGTAGGATGGTTGAGAATTGAAACGGACTTCAACCTTACTTTCTCGTTTTTCAAATCATGATCATACATTCAAATTACCATTACGACATTAACAAAAAATAACTAAAACTTTGTTATGTCAAAGGGGTCCAGATCTCTATGGCCACAACTGTGGGTAGACTAGTTGGAGAATTGATAAAATGCGGAAACCTTTTCAACTCACATTTTCACGTGAATCTGACAAGACGAAATTTCTATTAAAAGCAAATCAGAAATACAGGGCAAAATTCGAGGAGTATTCTAGGGGAATTTCTAGAACTTTTCGTCATTAGAGAATGAGACAGTATTTACGAAAACCTGTGTCCGAGTAAGGTGATTTTTAACAAGAAAATTAATCGATAAGGTTCTTCAACAGCGAGGACTTCTAAGGAAGAAGCATCTTAATTCAACTTTAAAACGTTTTAGGTACCACCAAAAATGTGGCATTTTGTAAATTCTCAAATTAGTAATAATTCGTCAGGAGTTTGTCACGGAAATGTTTCAGAAGAAACTGGTAAATTTTATGGTGTTGGGACAAAAGTCGAATCTTAAACAATCACGTAAAACCAGAAATATTTAAAAGTATTAAAAACTCCGAATAAAGTTATTAAGGGTTAAGTTTAAACCAAGTGTTATGATTTCTTTTGCATATCGAAAGATTCTCATTACTTTCTTCCAATTCCTTTGTTTTGGATTTTCCAGCCTTTCTGCTAAAAACTGATAAATGCAATGACCAGAAATATGTTTCCTACGGCTTCTCGGTAGGGCACCAGGCCAAAGAGAATTATTTCAATTTTTTACATTGCGAAGTGTAGAAATTAGAGAACATTAATTTAAAGATAAATACATCAGACTATGTACATTGTACATATAGAAAATTCAGCATTATTTCAATTTTATTTTATTAAACAAATGTAAAAATTAATGTCGCATGTATATTTTTTTCTAGCACACTTTAAATTATGACTTTCAATCTTGTTGGTAGACCATTTAGAAGAATCAATTAAGAGAAAAAAAATGGCGAAAATTTGAAAATACGTTTTATTTTTACAAAAAAGTTTTGAAGTGTTGTTTTCGATGACATTATAAAAGAAAACATTCTCTGAAATAGCACGTGATAAATCCAAAAATTAATTTTTTGAAAATATACACGTTCAAGAAAATGAAGATTCGCAAAAAAATGTTAATATTTTTAATTAATTAAGTTAATAAAACATGTGTTTTAACGGTAATTCAGTAATACCAGCGGAATGATAAAGAATGTTTGATTAATTGTGACGATTTGTATATCGATTTTTTTTAAACTTATGTTAGGTACCACCAATTAAAGGTAAATTTTATTAAGAAACGGTTCACACTTCCGTTAAATATCTAAAATGTGGAAACGGAAATTTCATTTAAACTAGTACACTCCTCAGTGTTGTAACAATTCAAATAAGGTGATACATTTAAAACTAGATATTACAAGTTTTGAGCTAAACATGACATAAGTATGTACGTACCTAAATTGGAAGTTGTATAGTTAGCTTTAAATCCTCGACCGTTATTGTTAGAATCTGATTCAAATTTTAACCATAAGTAATTATAACTTGAAACAATAAGTGGTGGAACCTCTTCACAATATGTTCCTACCAACGTTGAATTTGCATCGTGTCCGTCTCTAACCTGTTTGAGATTTAAAAAGTTTCTAAGATACGTAACGTCCAAAAACTTACCTCGAGATAGTCGTACACACACTCCGGATATGAATTACTCTCTAAATCTAAATCTTCAATTTTCAGTTTAATGACTCTCCCGAGAGGTTGTATTATTTCATATATGCATTGTAAGGAATGGTCATACTTGTTTGGATATCCGGGAGACGAAACAACTCCAGAAGGTGCAGTAAACTTACCACCACATACTGAAATAATTAATGACAATTAATTTTTAATGCGTATTAAATTTTGACAAGCAAGTGAGATATTCTTCTATGCTTGACCTCCATGGTGTACATACGAACATCTTAGAAATAGTTTTAAATCACTGTTCTTACAAACCTGTTTCGTATCTGATTACGAATCCAGAACTAGTTGTAGCCCAGTCAGTTTTAAAAACAATCAATAAAACATTATTATCTACAATATAAGGTGCAGGTACTTCCGATCCACAATACGTTCCTATCAGAGGAGCATCGACAGTACCACCCGAATAAATCTGTAAGTACATTGATAGTAAACACAGAAGATAATATTTGATGGGTCTGATACAGCAACATAATCAAACTGACACCCTTCAGCCTCCTCAAGGTCGAACGACAAAAACGTGAGCTTTATACGTGACTTTTCAGAAAGTTGAATTTTGTATTCGCATTGAATATCGTTCGGATAGTTTCCGTTAAAAGATGGCGAACGAATTTCGTCTTGATATCTCGTATAAACGCCACCACAACCTGGCATTCCTTCTACCACCGAATATGTTATTTGAAATCCTGGGTAAGTACGACTTGCATCCGTATGAAAATGCACCAGCACTTCAGCTCCTGGCGAAAACAGCGGAGTCGGGTGTGTAGTGTTGCAGAATTTTGCAAAAACTGGATCGCTATATTCGGTTCCTGAAATAAACTAAATAAAAAGGCATTAATAAGAGCGTTGTTCTAATTGTGACTTTAACTTACTTCTAGATAGTCGTTGTCACAGGTGGAACTGTTACCAATCATTAATGAGAAAAAGTGGAACAGTAGACGTTTCCCGGCTGGAGCTTCTAGAGGCCAGTAACAATCTCTAAAGGTGGATATTGTTTTTAAAATTGTGAACATGTAATAAACTAGACGATTACCTGTTGTTGGGATAATTTCCAGGGGAACCAGGGGAGTGAATGTTACCGTGAGATGTGACTTCTTTTAACTCTTCACCGCAATCTACATTTTTAAAACATTTATTACGATTCATTTAATTAACTTTTCGAAAGTTTTTCTTACATGGTACTATAGAAGTCCAAGTCAAGTTGAAACCACGAGATGCCACAGAATGGTCCGACCTGAACCATAGGTAAACTACATTATGTGTAGTGATAATTGTACCACCGTTTGGTAAATTGTGTCCACAGAAGCGGCCAATAGATCGTGACAATGTGTTTTTTCCGTCGTGAATCTACAAGTTGTGTAATGTTACGTCTATTTTTGAAATATTTTCCAGAATTTACTTGTAGCCAATCGTATCTACACGCAGGAGATTCTTCCACACTGAAGCTTAAAAATGTAACGTTCAATACCTTAGTTACATTAGTTTCAATAGTCCACGCGCAACTTAACGCATGCCCATATGTCTGGAATTGAACTGAAGGGAAAGCTAACGTACCGTTTTCCGAAGTTAGTTGACCACCACAAGCTTTAAATGCAAAACGTAAATTTTGATAAAAGTAATACAGAGGAGGGAGGTGTGTAAGAAATTAAAAATTTACCTTGCCTCTCCGTTTCGCATCTAAATCCAGTGTAAGATGACGGACAAACACATCTGTATGAAATACCAAGAATTGACGTACAAGTACCACCATTTTGACAAGGATTTGTGGCACATAAATCTCTAAATGAATCACAGTTTCTTCCTGTAAAATTTCTGTAAAGAGCTATACCGACGGCAAGTATGATTTTCACTTACCGGTATACCTGCTGTAACATTCACATACGTAATCACTAGTCCCATTAAGTCTACACATTCCATGTCTGCAAGGATTTGGGTAGCAGGGGCCTTGCTCGGGTAGTAAAGAGCGCACGCATCCGTTGGGACCGATACCATTACCAGCGTAACCAGCTGGACAAACACACTCGACGAAGGTTGAACTAATTCCTACAGTACTAAAATCAAAAGAAGAAAGCAAAATTTTCCTACATACTTGGGTTATTTCGACAAGTGGCCAAACTATGGCAGCCCCCGTTGTTAACACTGCATACTCCTTGATAGGAGCAGATGACACCGTCGCCCGTATATCCCGCAGGACAATTCCCACAACTTCTGGAACCCTGAAGAATATTTTTGTGTGTTATGATATTAGAAGACATGTGAATCTTACAAGAGTATTGATGCACTGTACCATCGGATTTGTACTACATCCACCATTTGAAGTTGCACATTCGTCAAGGTCGGTACAGTAGTATCCATTTCCGGTGTAACCTGAAAATCTATGTTAAAATTTTGTTCCCATTTATGATTCGATTTTACCTTGAGGACAGTTTCCACAGTGGAATGTTCCAGGTAAATTTATACAGGGTACCGGTGGGTTCACTGAACATGGAGGTTTATTCATTGTGCACTCGTTGACGTCCGTGTTACAAGCGGGAGTTTTACCATCGGTTGTCCAACCCTACAACATATGTATAGAATCCAAACCGCAAGAACAACACGATAATTTACTTGGTCACAAATGCACTTATAACCAACATCATTGTACTGAGTTACACAAGTTCCATGTCCACAGAGTTCTACATTAGATCCTGATTTACAGTCATTTGACCGTCTGGTACAATGAATTCCGAACCATCCGTGAGGGCACATACACCTAACAGCATTAGTTTGAGTAATTCAAATTCAAGAGAATAGAAACAGTTATTTACTCGTAAGTTCCTGGACGATTTATGCAGGTGGCTCCATTTTGGCAACCTAAATCAGTACCAACAAACCTAGCACACTCATTGACATCTTTATCACAAAGCGGCCCTTCCCATTCGTTTGGACACTGACATAAGTAATCGTTAAATAAATCTTGGCAAGTTGCTCCATTTTTACAAGGATTACTAGAACACTCATCCGTTGTCAGTAGAAGAGTTAAAAGGCGTATCGACTTTTGCAGGTTGTTTACTTTTCTATTTAATCTCCTAACACTTCGCACTACGGACTATAATTAAAATTTAATTGCTATGATTGAAAATGAAATTTGGGAAGTATACTTACACCGGAGTTAACTGGAACCTGCGGAAACTGGTTAGAAGTGGATGTCGCGTTTGGACTCCATTGTATTGTCTTTATTTTTGCCAGGATGCCGTCATCGAGGAGTTGTTCGAATTCAGAAATTTTTGCAAGTGATCTTTGTGAGCTTGCTTCATATTTTTTAATGGATTCTAAGACTGAATTAGACTAAAATTAAATACGTTTTAAAATGAACGCTGGCGCTGTCATTGGATTTAAATTACGAGCTTGGATGTTTTCAACAGGTCTACGCCATTTACATGAATTCCACCTCTTCCTACAGTTTGAAAACTGATGTTTTTATGTTCTGCTGCATAAAATATCAAATGTCCATTTTGAGCAACTATCCTTGGTCTAAAACACGATGTGATTAATTAATATTGTGAGTAAGACAGAATATGTAAGTAGAATATTGTTTATTAATAAGTATTGTAATCGGGTCCATCGGCAGACTCCCTACTTTTATCTTTTCTCGACTTTCATGGCCACTATACTACGAAGAAATAGGTCTTCCATTTTCATCTGTCTGTCGGTCTATCTGTCTGCCGTCTGTCCTGATTTCATTAGACAGATTATTTCCGAAACTACCGGATCGATTGTTGTCAAATTTTATATGTATATTAGGAATATCATGTGGATGATAAACATTAATCAAAATTGGGCCAGTCATCTTACCACCAACGGGATGACGTCATTTCCAAAATTTACAACAGTATTTTTTATTTTATAAAAGAAGATACTCCTGCACTTTTGGTGTATGCATCCGCGTCAAGTTTTCACCCTAGACATCCAGATTTTTGAAAAAAAATCAAATTCGTACAACAAAATTTTGCAATTTAACTATGAAACTGCAAAACCGAAAGCTCAAGATTCTTCTCTCTTTTGCAAAAGTTTTAAGGTTATCGTGATCATGGTAACTTGTTAATCAAAATTTATTCGTTTATCCCCTCCCAAAAAATTTATAACGTCATCTCAAAATTTTATCTGAAATGCGAAAATATTATGACTCTGTACTTGTGGTTTATCAGTGCGCCCACAGTTTTTAAAATTACTTATACAGGGTAGCTCAAAAAAATTAATGAATGAGTCACTTTATTTCATGGATTAAGGAACTGCAGAACAGGATGCTTTGAAATCTTTTTGAGACCTTTTAAAGTTATCGTCAGCATGGTCAATTTTTAATCAAGGTATATATTTTCATCCCCCGCCCCAGAAAAAATTGACAACATCATCTCAAAGGTTTGCCCAATAAATCTTATTCAAAATGTGGAAAATATAATGAGTCTATACTTGGGACTTATAATTGCGTTTTTTAGAATTGCTTATACAGGTTGACTAAAAAAAAAATTTTGAATGAATAAATCAAGAACTGCAAAACTGACTGCTTTGAAATTTTGCAAATGTTTTAACATTATCGTAATTATGGTAAATCGTTGATCAAAATTCGTCCACAAAAGTTCATGATGTCTCAAACTTTTGTTGAATAAATCTTATCTGAATTACGCAAAATATTATCACTCTATACTTGTGATTTATCATTGCATTCATACATTTGCTTATGCAGGTGGTTCAAAAAAATTAATGAATGAATCAATTTATTTTATTTTCAAATCAAAAACGGCTCACTCTTTTTACCGAAATTTTGGGAATACAATACTGTTACTATCAGTAATATACTGCACCAATCCAAGTTAATATACGTGTTCTTGCAAAGATCTTGATGACGTCATCGCAAAATTTTGTAAAGTAAAAATTCATTTGAAACGTACGAGTAGCATGCTTATTAAATTATCAACTTGAATGATTACTGTTTGAAATTATCGATCACCGTTAGTTACGGTTTGAGATTTATTACAAAATTTGTCGTATATGTGGTCGTTAGTAATTCCAAAAATAATTTTATATTTCAATGTAAACAGATCATTTTCAAATGTCTACTCGATAGTAATAAGTGGCGGTACTTATACTTGCATTTATGCTTTATTGTATGTATTACGCTCTTGTATATTTGGCCTCTATGGACATGTCTAGAGAGCGGATTTCATGAAATTTGCATATCCGTTATTTTTTGCATATAAGTCTTGATATTTAATATGTGAACGAATCATGCTAATTAAAAATGAATACAGCTATAAAAAAATTGCATATTTGCATATATTTGCCTTCTGCTGCATATTTCACGGAACGGGTGCATATTTTGCATTTTTATCAATTTTTGTGTTAATTTGAAAAAAAAAATATTGTCATTCTATTGGCATTTATCTAGAAAAACGAAATTTTATTAATCATATTGCAAATATTGTCCTGAGCTTCAAATAACTATGAAAGGTTTGGGTTTTATGGTAGTTTGGAGACACCACTGGGTGTTAAGCTATCCTCTCAGGTAAATTCGCGCCCTAATTACTTTTGGAAATACCGTTCATTCCCAATATTTGTGTTCGTTAGTTAAGTGTATTAATTGTACGTTTAGTGGTGGTCGAAGGGACGTTATACTATTATATTTCATCGTGAGTTTGTATTGAAAGCATTTAAAGGGATACAGGTATACCAATATGTCGAAGATGACTCAAATTAATTTATGGATTAAACCTTTTTCTAAACTTATTCTTCAAGAACGAACTGTGTTTTGTCGCGCCTGCCCTAAATTGGTAAGTATTTTTACATCTCTGGACGTAGTACGCAGTTTTTCTATTTACCAATATATATAGGTACTTTAGAATCACCGGAAAAACTTTTTGTTACAATATTTCGAAAAATATTTAAAAATAAATTGGTACCAAAGTAATAATAATAATAATAATATATTTTGCCCAACAGAATAAAAAATAGTAATTAAATAGTGGATTACTACTATTTTTTAATTTGTTCTGTTTATATTTATTTTTTAGTACAAGAATTTTATCTTTAAAAACGTGATTTATGTTTAGTGAGATGTAATTAAACACCATGCAATGTGATTTATGTATTTTTTGTAATAAAACGTAAGCTCGGGAAACCTGTTTTTGTATTTTATAAATAAATTTAGTTCGCTTATTAAGCTTTTTTTTTTATTTTTGGAGCATATGCAACTGCATATCTCTGCATATATTAAGAAAGTTACTGCATATTTGCATAAATTTGGTGCATATCATATGATCATATTTCTCAAAATTTTGCTGCATATTTTCCGCTCTCTAGACATGTCTGTTGGTTACTTAAGTCTATTGCTATTGTTGTTAAATTCGACCAGTTATTTTGTAAAATTTTGTATACTTAGATATACAACAGTTTAAACAACAATAAATATACTTTCATTTTATATGCGCTGAAAAATCAATTTGAACTGCCGACAACAAAGATAGGATATATTGATTGATATATTGATATTTTTCTTTGTAATATTAATAATAACGAAGTGTTTTGAATTTCGCTAATTTATTTTCATAAATTAAAAAGTTTAAAAAAGAGGTAAACCGTTAGCTGAAATATCCTGGATTCTATTATTGTAACATTCATTGTATTACGAAAAATCCAAATTTTGTACGAAATAAAATAATTCTTTTTGTATTTAAGACATTTCTAAAATTTTAAATACTTCTCGTGGGAAATACATTTATATATTCATTTCCTGAAAACTGTCGAAAAGTGAAGACTCTAAATTTTATCGAGACTCAAAATTTATGAGGTGAACAAAAATGATCTTCATCAGAATTATGCAAACGAAAATATTGTTATATATAATAATCCAATATAGATAGAATTGTTTTAATTTTTTTTTAAATTTATACACACGATTTTGTATAATTTATTTCATTTAAACCCACGTTATATTTTGTTTCCTTATTATTTGATCTTGTGTGCCTCAGAAAAAATCAAATTGTACTTACTGCGCTCCATAAGAATTAGTTGTGTATATAATATTTGCCAACATATAAAATAATAAAATATAAATAAAAGTCATTTTTAAAACCTATTTCTACTTTTCACTTAACACATCTCAGAGTAAACGATTGAACTGAACTGTGGACAGTGGTAATGGGCGGCAGAGATCTAGCAATGTCAAGGGGCGTTATATATCAAATAGTTGTACCAAAAGATTGAATTACATCAATGCACGCGTTAATGTGATATATAGAATTGGTACAAGGAGGTGTCATTTGTGTCAAATATCGGAGTTGTAATATAATAGTTTAAGTTTGTTTTATTCAAAGTCTACTAAACTTTTAAGACTGACTCTGCCTATAAAAAAAAATATCTGAATAAATTTCAACTTACTGAATTGGCATTTATAAGAGTACGTATAAAACATTTTATGTATAAACACTGTGGATATAAAAAACTGAGTAAAATATCATTGCAAAAAAAATTATGCTAACATTTTGATTGGCTAATCTAGCTGACAAAGTAGGGCCACGCTTCTTTTAATCCAATGTGCAGGAGTAATGGTAGTTTTCAGTAAAACTGGAAGCACATAATTTGTAGAATGACCCGTTGTAGACAAAACGCCTCTTCTTTCTGAAGTCTTATAAACCGGACACTTGTATCTGCCTCTCTCTTTATAGTCGACGTCTTTAATAGGTTTTATCCAAATTAAAGGCATGTTGTCATGTAAAATTTTTGGCAATAATTCGACAATTTGCTGTGTACTTCTTTCCCATCTAGCACCATCCATGAACAATCCATAAATGTAGGCACCATCTGGAGGTGCTTGATTTTCCCTATCTTTCTTCATAACTGCAAAATCGAAAGTGAGTTGGTCAATAGGAATGGTGTATTTTCGAGCATAGTTTTGCTTAACACCAGTCAAAAACGCTTGGGTAAAGTAAAACCCAGATACCCAGTAATCATTTGGTTTCCCATTCTGGTACCACGTATCCAAAAACACGATTCTTTCTACAAAATCCGCTACGTAATTGGGTAAGTTTTTTAAACTGGGGTACGAAGCACCGGCCCAGTTTTTCGGGATTCGAGCTACTAGAAGAGACGCAGAAAAGGATTCTAAAGCTGGGGTCATTGAGATTAGGCCCTGGATGGCTTTCTGCATATTAATTAAAGAGGTTCGGATCACACCAAGGAGTTTGTTGAAACGTTCCATTTCTTGTACCAAAACGGTATTCATTGATTCGGAATACTGAACAGGGTAACGTTGCATTGCTACTTCTTGATCAAAAGGTGGAGGCAATTTGGACAAAATATCGGAACACAATGTCATTATGTACTTGTCGGTTTCACCGGTCATGCCTGATTGACCCTCACCATAGGCCATTAAGGCTGAATTCAGTAGTCTGTGAGAGTTCTGCAAATCACGAGTTATTCCTGCGTTTGTATTGAGACCAAACACTTGAGGAGGATGAATCACAGGGAGGTTCTGTATATGATTTATGAAATCTGGATAGTCGATTTTTGTTGGGAGACCATAGCATTCTGCAGCGTCGCTGAAGAGATAGTTACTTGCACTGACTAAATTCGGATTGAGAAAGTCTTCTAAGATGGTCGTGATCAAGCGACGATCCCAGTCATCCGTTACTCGACCTCCGTAGTTGCATTCACCGATCAGATAAGAGAGGGCTTCATATGGATCGTCACTCTCGTTGATAAACATTCGTAGTTGCTGAACCGATATATCAAAATCGGAATCGTTAAACCCGTATGGTATATTCCACCCTAGTGGTCCAAAAGTACGTCTCTCTTGTACAACGGCGTGGAAGAATGCGATGCCATATAACAGCTTCACAAACATTTCTTGATTTCCTGGGCATCCGTTAAAGAATTCTTGGTTTTTGACAGGATCGTTGAGGTACGATTTCAGAAGGTTATCTTTAAGACCACTTGGAGGCTCATTGGTAATTTTAACTCCCTTCTGCAATATAGACACTGGAAATTTATCGGAAGGGTAACTCGTTAACCACAGTCGAAAATTATCGTCTGTATTTGTGTAATCCATATCTTCGAAGATTTTCTCAAGACTTGGCATCCATGACGTTGCAAGGTGACAATTCTGCAGGCACACCCAAAGCCCTTCGTTTTGACCTTGTTGAATTAGGGCAGCAGCACGTGGACCTTGTCCTTGTCCTAAAGAAATCGACTGAAATTGTTCGACATATTTCTTTTCTTCGGCAAATTTTACCAAAGCAGCCATAGGATCGGTACCAGGTGATAGGATAAAGATCAACGGACATAAATTATACGATTCGTTATACGAAACGGAAATGTTAAACTGGGGTGGCGTTATATATTTTACACCCATTTCTTTAGCGATGTAATTGGTGGCTCCCACCAACAACTTGTCAGGACGAAGAATACGTAGCACAGTCAGTTTTCCAAAGGTATTGAGATTATCTTGCCAGGGTGGTGGCAATTTTTCGTTTTCCGGTTGGTAGCTGTCGTAGATTTTCTTCCAGTCGTGCGATCGTTCAACAAACGAATCCTTAAAATTGTGAAAAGCTGGTAGGTCGCTTACTCGGCATATTTGATCCCATGACAGTTTTGGTAACCATTCTAGTGGATTCTTTAGGGTATTCTCAACATTTATCCCTCCTGTCATTAAGAACATAAACTCTTTTTCGTCCAAAGTCTTGTTAAAGATTAAAATCTTTGAACACAACAAGAACGAAAACAATAGTTTGTCTTTCTCAAACAATGATCGCGTTATGTTCGAGTAGAGGTCAAAAGTGAAAGCTGTGATAAGATTGGCGCACCGCTTTTCCACGCTTTTGCATTTTTCGGCTCTCTGAATGGATCCGATGTACAGATTGATGAACCAGTCTAGTGAGTACTGGTACATCGGATCTACGTTTCCTAGATCGCAGATGCAGTAATAGAGAACTGCCGAATGTTCGGCCACACCTTGATACATCACTCGAAATTCTTCAATAGATTTTTCGATTTCCAAGGATTTAGCTTGTTTGTCACGGATCGTTGCAGATAATAATTTGGATTCATCGAGAATCTGTATTGCTGTTTCGTCCTCTAAAATATCACCTTTACATTCAGCTAGAGTTTTTAGGATGTTGCGTTCAACATCATCTAAAGCACCTTTGTTTTCAGCTTTTTGTACGATTAATTCTTCTTTTAACCGTTGTAATTCTGGTTTTTCTACTGCAACGACGATGCCTAAAAGTTGGTCTTGCAGACCTTCTAGAGTTAGAGCAAAATTGATGACTGTCACTCTGTTGAAGACTTCAGGTAAGTAGTGGGGGTTTCGCAAGGGTGATGACAGATACATTCTAAAATTTTGGTTGTACGGAATCACGTTCTCTCCTAAACTTATTACTTCAAATCCTGCTTGTTTGAAAACTTTTTTGTACAAAATGGGGTCGATCGGTGCTTCTAAAACTTCACCGATGCTTTCAATTAAAACTGGAAAGCCGTTCTGAATGCAGTTCTCGATTGTTTTCATATAATCTGCATGAGAAAATTTCACAACGTACAGTGAGTTCTTTTTTTCCATTTTCTTTATCCAGTTGCTTGCTTGGTACTGTGGATCTATAAACAGTGACCACTTTTTTGAATTGTCTTGTATCATTCCGTTTTCTGTCGAGAATGCGTCCCGCGGCAGCCCACTTATGTACCAGTTTTGTATTTTAACATCATCGCCTAATACAACTACGAAGTCAAACACTTCCGAACAAGGTATTTTCAATTTCTTAACAAGTTTGTGCCAGTCGGAAACAGTTTTTTGTCGGTAATAGGCCGTCAAAGGTGACAAGTAAGCCATAATGCCGCTCGACACTAGGATGTCACCAGCTAAAGAATCATGTTGGACTTGTAACGCCTCGGCTGCTGCCGTCCACCTGGATTTCTCTCCACCAAGACCACCGATAAGTTTCTGTGCTCGTATCAATTTGTTTCGACACAAATCGACGTCAGCTTGGAGCTCCGCTTGCCTCAGTTGTGCTTCTTCTAGCTGTTCGTTCAAAATGCGAAGTTTCTCTTCTAACTGTGCGACTTGTGCTCTTTTAGCTCTAAGTATCTCCATGGTCGCGGCAAATTCTCGTTCCGCGCTTTCCAGTTTCGCTTTTTTCGGAGCCACAACTTTATTAACTTTATCGTATTTATCCAACGCAATTATCCACTTACACAGACCTTCAGCAGCACTTGATGCTTTGGCGACAATTTGGGGCTTGAAATCTTTATGTGGGAGATACTCTTTTCGGATCTTCACCATTATCTCGGGTTTTATATTATCTTTATCGTAGTCTTTTAGACCTTGTAAGAAGGTCATCTCCCCTAGAAGTTTGACACTAGGTCCCCAAAAGTCCAAATTCATTCTGCCAGACGCTGGATCTCGAATTCTTGCAGGCTTAATGTCTTTCATGATGCACACGGCAGCCATCACCAACTTAATTGCGGCGGGTGGATTCTTCATAGACTTCACCAGTACGATATCTGAAGGTTTCAGAGTGTCCAGCGCCTTAATGGCATCTTCTAAAATCGGAATCGCTTCAGCTAAATCTGCTTCACACTCTTTCTTTAAAGCGGAAGCCATTGCGGCCTGCACGTTGGCTACCTTTTCGTCTTTTTTAACAAGCTCGGATGCTTTCTCAACTTCGATGGTTTCGGTCTCAATCTGCTTCATCATGTCGATAGCTTTGCGGTTCATCTCTTCTAACTGTGGTCTTAATATTGCCAAGTTTCGCTGCATCTCAGCGATTTGTTCGGCTGCGAACAAAAGTTTTTTCAAACCACCAATATATCTTTCTTGAGTCTTAAGAATTTCCTTTTGCTTGCTGTTCGTAAGTAACGTGAAAGACTTAATGAGTTCTAGATAAGACGCGGAAGTGATGTACGTTTTTCGACCAGTCGCTATATGGAATCCATCTGAAACTTTACGAGCTTCAACGTGAAAGTACTTGCAAGCCACAACAGCTTGTTGTTTCACTTCATCGGATAAATTAACGTCTACCATCCATTTCTGGGCTACTTCCTCGAGGGCATTTTCTGGCCAGTCGTCGAACCAGTCTATCGTGCAACAGTTAATAAGAGCAGGATATAGCCTTAACCGATTTCTGAAAGTCGATCCAACGGGACTGAAGCACAACACTGTGTGTACTTTCTCCCGACATCTCTTTGTGAAGAAATAAAAGATCGACAAGGCACTTATATCAAGATTTCTATTGCCTCCCTGAGCTGCGAGTCTCACCATTTCCAAAATTTCTTGTCTCTCGTCTATTTGGTATATATTGGGTACTTCGCCCGAGTTGAGGAGGCAGTCGATGTCCTGCAAGAACGATTCCTCTTTAATTTGCCCTTCAGTAATCAAAAACACACAATGCCGTCCTCTGCCTCCCGCTTCCTTGAGTATTTTCTTAATATCATCCCTCCATTCGTTTAAACCGTAGTTGTTTGTAATTTCTGGCTGGAATAAGGCTTGACCATAAATTTCGCTAGCTAGTCTAGTTAGAGACTGTCTTCCAGAACCACTGATACCGACTAGGAGAGCGCTTCCGCAAGCCATCGACAAAACACGACAAAGCTTCGACAGATGTTCCAAAGCGTAATCGAAAAGTACCACATCCATTTTGGTTTTATGAGAAGCGTTATAGTCATCCAGACAACTTTGGCACAACGCAGCGAAGGCACCTATGTTCGCTGTTTCCTCATATCGCCTTTCGTCGTCATCTGAATCTTGATCAAAGTAAGTCCCAAACATGAGCCTCTTCAACGAATCCAAAGTTAAATTATTTTCAGAATCTTTTGGCAAATAATCAAAGACATTGTCGAAATGCTCTTTGAAGCTATCACGAACAACAAGTTTGATTTTTGAAAACAACCATGCCTTGTCGGCATTTTCAATTAGTCTATCGTAGAAAATACGCAAGACTTCGTGGACCCAAATCTTTGCAAAGACAACTCTCTCTTCCGCACACTCTTTTCGCAACATGGCACAACCTTGAATCAAACGAGAAAAGTCACGCAGATTGAAAACATAGTGACTTTTTGACGGAGTAGGCCGTAAATTTTCTGTAGCAGATTTGAAAATTTCTAAACTTGCGTTCACTGTTTGTACAGCCATGTTGATAATATCGCTAGGGAAACCGTTATTTTTCCAACCCAAATGTAAAATGTTTATATAGATTTTCGCCATGGTTTCCTCGGAAAATTCATTTATGGAAAAAATGCTGAAGTGCCTGAGGAATCGTGGATAAATTTCTTGTCTGCTACCTCCCACGAGACCCATAGCTGCCAGAAAGATTACTCGGTGTAAGAAAACCGGTGCTGTGGTTTTAAGATCGTACCAATTTTTGTGGTCGAAGTACTGGCGCAGGAGTTCGATAGGTGGTTGCGCCCCGTAAGTTTCTTTATAAGGCATGTTGATATCGTCTATAAAAAGAACAGCAGTTTTGCCTTTTGGTGCTCCGTAATGATATCTTCGTAGTTTGTTCAATTTAGAAATAATCAAATTTTGGGTCTGATTAGCTGTGACTTTTACTGTGAACGTGATGAATGAAGGCAAGTACATTTCTTTATCCAGTTGGTTCATGAGGAGATCTTGAATGTAGAAGCTCTTTCCAGTACCAGTTGGTCCTACTAGTAACACGGGTGCGTTATTTTTAATGTGCATTTCTACCAAAGCCATATATCTCCCCGTATCAACGGTGGGAATTAAAGCTTGTAAGATATTCTTACATTCATCTACCCTTTCGTTTTTCACAACTTCCGGCCAGAACTTCCAGGTGCCCTTCATTCTATAATTGTATGCGTAATCATAGAGCAAGCCTTCAATCGGGATGCTGATTTCAAGCTTCTCTAGGGATGCTGGATAAGGATTATCTTCCAGTTGACCTCGCCACAGTTGTTTGTAGAACGTATCAAACTTCACCTTTGATTCTGTATCTAGAACACATCCCAACCCCCATATTCCTGCTTGAAGAAAAGCCGCTTGCATCCATATTAATAAATTTTTCTCTTTTTCGTCCGCTTTGATGACCTCCTCACAAGCTTTATTCAGTGTCATTTCAACCAGTTGCATCATATTTTTTACTAGATTTATCATTCCGATATTACAGTACTGAATGCAGTATTTTCTAAGGAAGTACAAACACGGCGGTATAATCCAATAGAAAAGGTCTTTGGTGAGGATTCTGTATTCATCATAACACCACTCTTGGTTACAATTGACGAGCCAAGAGGTAAGAAAAGGTTCCCAGCCGAGAGTTACAGCTTCCATATAGATCATACCACAACGCGATACCTAAATTAAAATTGTTTAGTGCATTTAAGTATGAACTAAAACGCTTACCGTGGCCGGCGATGCCTGTTCCAAGTCCATTACTTCAAAAATCAACGACATGGTGCTCGACAATGTCATAACTTCTCCACTCATCAAACAAAGCTTCTTGTTATCGTCTAAAACACTGTTCATATTTTCAATCCAAACGGCATCTACAGGTCCATCAAATATAATCCACTTTCTGTCGGGACTGGGATCATTAGCATAATTTCGAAAACAGGTGGCGACGACTCCATCGGACCATTCGTAGGAAATGGGATCAAATTGACCGTACAACTGACCCATCGTTATAGCCTTTGGATTCAATATCGTATAACATACTTGTGATTCTCCTTGTCCTTGTTCATTAATAAGCGATAATGTGTCGGCCAAAACCTTCAATGTTGAAGATTTCCCCGCAAATGGCTCTCCCACAATCATAAAACCCCATCTCACGATCATCATTTCGTACGTTTGTATGATTTTTAACAGAAAAGAAGCTTTTGGTTGAAGATTACGTTTCTTGCAACAAACCATTATAGCGTCTGTCAACATCTTATAATCAGCTTCTGGTAAAACAACCCCTGGGAACAAATCCGAGATAATTCCTTCAAAAAGTGGGATATCATGATTCAGAAATTTCGGTAGGTTGACATCTAAAATGGCCCTCAAAAGCAGAATATCTTCTTGTTCGTCGGGAAATTTTCTCTTGTTGTTACCAGCAGCCGACAAGACCGACTTCACAGCTCTCATGCCGTAATCGTAGTGATTCTGTGAAGACAGTTGTTCCGAACACAAGCGATACGTTGTGACTATCTTCACAGATAAGTTTCTCGCATCGATAAAACCGTACGAGTACAACGAGATTTCTCCAATCATGGCATAGTCGGGTACCATCATGGCGACCGTGCGAAACAGCACTTTCAAGTTATCGGGCAGTTCCGAACGTCCTGCATATCCTGGATTCATGGTGATACATACATAGCAAGTGGGATTTAATTGAATTTCTGACCCTTCGAAAAGAAATTTGGGTAAGTTAGCACGAACTGCCAATATTATGGATAGAATCTGCTGGGCTACCACAGACAGTACTTCAATGTCGATTCGATTAAATTCGTCGAAACAGGCCCAAGCACCACACGACGCCAGTCCTTTAAAAAACTTCCCCATGGCCTTGTAATCCAAACCATCGGAGCAGTTAAAGACAACACACTGTACAGCGATTGCTTTTGCTAAATCTTTAGTAGTCTCGGTTTTGCCGGTACCTGCGGGACCTTCGGGGGCTCCATTCAAATGTAGATGGTATGCACCGATTAAAGTTCTGTAACACCTGTCCGTCAGGGGTGTAATTACCAGACGATCCGTGTTTCCTAGGTATTCGTACGCGTATTTGACTGTTGCGTTGACAAGTCGGACGTAACATTCGTTTTCTTCCAAGTAGTACCTTAACTGTGACAACCACTTAAATTCTTTATCGTCCTTCACTTTCTTGTCGGCCAAGTCTTGAACGACGTCTTTTGCGTGTACGTCAATTACGATTAGAGCTTTGATGGTTATTCTTGAAAGATTCGTTAAAGTTGGGTCTCTGATCAGCCCGACTATCTCTTTAAGTTGGTTCTTAAGACTACTAGCAAGTCCATTTATCGTCATGTCTTCGACACGATTCAGTGCTTGGTGAACGCTCGTAGTCCAGTATACTTGTGACACTGCTAACACCACTTGACCCGGCCATTTTTGTACCCATTTCGTTCGTGGCGTGACAGCGTAGTTCTTAAAGCTTTGAATTATTTGTTCCCTGACTGATTTTATCATTTGCTCTTCAACAAGAATGAGCCATTTTTCGACACTTCCTCCAAATTCTTTGGTTTTGATCATTTTAACGAACTCTATTTCTTCGTCTTCTTGGCTATACATGGCATGGATCTGTAATTGGTCGTCGAAATTGAGACGATTGATGGCTTCAAAACATTTCTTGAGGTGAGGTTGTACTCTTAGAGGATCTTTTGTTTCGGACAAAATCTCCAACATTTCGTCGTTCGACAAGAAGAAAAATCGCGGAAAAAAAAGTCGTTTTTTCTCTAGATATGATACCACGCCGTCGTTGATTTTCTCAAGGAGTTCTATACAATGAACCATTGCTTCTAGAACTCCAGCAGCGCCTGCTGTTTCAACAACTCTCGAGTCTCTCATAACCATGTCCATGTACCGCTTGTACGTGTCGTTGACTTCTTTAAAAAGTTGCCCTTCTTCTGGCATTTGTGCTACAATATCTTTTGATGAAAAAATTGGGAGTAAGTAAAGCCACTGTGACTGTACTTTGCCCCATTCTTCTATCGTATTGTTTATTCTCAATAATTTCTCGTAAAAAGCCCTTACTTCAGTTTCATAAGGTCTGACAAAAACGGACCCTCTCATGGTTAAAGTCTTCAGAATATGGTCATCGAGAATGACTTGAACATCATCCAACTGAGTTAGAATATTGATTCCTGTGTCTTTATAAGTACCGGTTTTGAAACGAATATCGACCCATTCTTCTTGCATTTTGTTGAGGTTGACCAAAAGTTCTCTTTCTTTGGTTGCACTGGTACTAATAATCTCATATTTGTCCATATCAGGTTCTAGACCCATACCCATTAACTTTCTCAACGAAGTACCTGCGTTCGGAGTCATATCAAAACCGGCGATCTCAGACATTTCTTTCCAGTGTCTCTTCAGCAAGGCGTCATTACACATAATTTTCATCATTGTTAATGCAGGCCTAAAATCTTTAATGTCTTGGATTGCTCTCGCAGTCAGTTTAAGCGGCGCTGGCCAGTTGACAAGTTCTGGATCATCAAGTATACCATCAAATCGCAAGGCAACATTCTCAGCTAGAGCTTGCTTTATTTTATTCCTGTACATCTTTTGAATTTTCAAAAGCTCCTTCTGAAAGTCTTCTAGCATCAACTCGGTTTCCTCTGCATTAAGAAATTCAAATTGTCCATCAAGCCACACTGCAATTTTTCTTTTCAGATTTAAACAAACTTTCAATAAATGGTAAAAAGGGAACAAGAAGTTCGCCATCTCCTCGTACTTCAAAAAAATGGTTACGCCGAAACCCAGAACCTCTTCTTCGTGATTACTCCAAATGATCTTCTTCAGAGCGTCACGCATGACTTCTAAAAAAGGCGCCATTCTGTGAACGTACTGACGTACGTTTTCCACATCGTCCATGTCATTCAAGATCACGAGATACGGCAGCAGTGTTTGCAAAGCGACAGCAACTTCATCTTTGGTTTTTTGAAGTTTTTCTTCTGCTTCAAATTTGAATTGTTCGTACATGACGGAACTTTGTTCTAAGATGGGTTCGACATTTTTTAGCCAGTTAACCGTGTCTGAATTTAGATCCATATGTTGTTGAGAGATTTCGCCATATTCGAACAAGTGGGTCAGATTATATAACATCTGCTGGATTCGCTCCGCAAGTTCTATGAGATGAACTGTTTTTACCCAGATCATGTACTTGCCTTGCTCCATTAATTCTTCGCTGTTAGTTGGTACTTCTAGAGCTTTCTCTCTGATATCTTGGAAACACTGACAAATTGCTTCATCTTCCAAACGGTGTTCCAAACTGAGTTTACCCAAAATTTCGTCGATGAGACGTTGTAAAGACGCTTTGAGATTATCAACGTACTCGGAAAGTATCAGTTGACCTATGGCAAAATATTCGTTGGTTAAATTTGTGTTAGCTTTTTTTATGTAACTTTTGTAATAGGCTATTTGATTAAAGCCGTTCGTGAAAAGCATTTGTTTATCTTCTACTTCTTTGTGGATATCAAATTCTGAATATAGATCCCCAAATTCTGACTCTACATACTCGAGGTAACTAAAAATAGGTTCATACATCTTCGAAATGTTGAGTGACATTTGTTCAATACAATGTTCGAGGAAATCGTCAGTGACATTCAGATGAGTCAGCTCCGAGTCCTCTGCTTCTCCTTCTTGTTTCGCCGAATTCAAAACTGGAAATTTTTTACCAGTCGCAACTAGGTCATGCAAGAATCGAGAATAAAGATCGATGACGTCATTCATTGTTGGCTTCAAAGTTAGACCTACTTCACCAAAAATGAGAGTTAATTTAAGATATGGTATCAAATCCTCATTCCCCGTTGCCCTCACGATATATTTCATCGTTTCGATAAGTGCTTGACTCATGTACACTCCAAACAGACCGGTACATGCTTTCAAATAATCGGTGTTATCGCTTTTGTCTTTCTGCACCAGTACTGTCAGTTTTAAGTAAAGTTCTTTAAAAAGAAGTTTCGATTCCTTCACATAGGTGGCAAACTTTTCAGCCAACGTTACGATGTCTACCGGTTCGCTACTTTTCTCCCCAAAATCGAACAGCTTGTCTGGTAAGAATGTGACACATTCCTTCAAGATTGCTCGAATTAGGGGATGGTGAAGTTTCCATTTCCATAACATGTATTGACGGTGCTTTAAATAAACGTTGTACCTTTTCGTCTTTCCAAAAAATTTTAAAGGTTCTAGGTGGATGTGTTCGTCGTTTCCCATAGGTCTCGTTTTCACGTTGACGCTCACTCCGTGAACCGTTTCGATAAACTCATCTCTTGCTTCATCCAAAATAGTTTCTACTATCTGGGGGTATTTGTTCTCCAAACCACCTGTATGGACTCTTTCCATTATACATTTCCACTGGAACATGATCTTCATAGTTTTGGGTCCAGACTGCGCATATTTGCGTATATCATATTGTGGAGTATTTTTTTGGGGAATTTCTGGGTACAACTCTTTTAGTTTTTTTTTCAGTTCTTTCTTCTTGGTGTCTTTCGCCATTTGGCATTTTTTTTTGAGGAGAAATTGTCGTGTATGGGCTGGGACGTTGAAACGGGCGAGCAGGTCTTCCGTAAGTGTGGTTTTTATTAGTTCCTCTATAAGGGGGACGTTTTGGGTCTTTGTTTGTAGTTTTTTGCATTTTCGGAACTTATCTTTTGCTTGATCCATGATAAATTGTGAATGAGTCGGGGGTTTGACAATTTGAAAAAAAAAGTCTATGACAATTGTCAAAATGTCATTATAGTGTGCATTGGGAAAAGGTAGCGAAAACAAGAAAAAACAAAGCATACATTTTATAAGCACATGCACATTACCATGTGACTCCAAAGTTCCAAAGTCCGCGAGTGCTGGTAATGGTAATACTTGTATGTATTATGTTATTATACTCGTATTAACATCTCTTTTTACTAACATTATCACCTAAAGAGAAAATATTTTTCTGGTTGGTGATTTTACTTTCAATTGTTGTTAATCCCTTCTGGATGTATATAAGTGAGCTTCATTTGTCATACCTGTTCTAGAAATGTCCCTATTATTATCATATGACACAGACTGCTGTAAATTAATAAATTAAAAATTAAAATTACTGACCCCATACTGTGGTAATCCATACATCCCACCAAAACTTAATAAATTTTGTTTTGGCCTGTGATCGTCTAACAAAATGGGATACTACAGTGTGAGAAATGGCTGGACGTGTTGTAACGGTGGATTTCAAGATAGCGTCAGCCATCCAGCTTACCTTCAAATTGAGGAGTGTTCGATTTTGTTTAGTTGTATCGAAAGCGACAGTACAGACATCTGACCATTCGAATTTACGATCCTTTTTCAGCAGCGCAGTAATCGGTGCGACAATAAATGCAAAATTCGGAATATACCGAAAGTACCACGACGCCATACCTATAATTCGACGGACTTCAGAAACCGGTTTCGGCGCGAGAAGCGTCAGAATAGGCTCTATCTTCCCCGGGTCAACATCAAGGCCCGATCGTTTCACTACATAGCCTAAATATTTAAGTTTCTCGTGACTAACATATCAGTCTTGCTCTTGCGAAATGTACTGCGCTCTACGAAACACCTCGCGCAGTACATCCAGGTGCTTGTCGAAGTCGGGGGTGGTCATGATGATATGTACATACATAAATACGTACGGCTCCGGATCTGCTCCCAGAACTCAATCGATGAGACATTGCCATGTTGCTGGTAAGGTATGTAGGCCGAATGGTAGCGTTTTAAACTGGAACAAACCTCTTCCTGGGACAGGGAATGCCGTTATAGGACGCGATTTTACTGCCACAGGCGCCTACCAAGACGCGCTTTTTACATTCAGAAATGATAGATATTTATTGTCTTTGCCATTTCTATTGAAACACCACTTGTTGATTTTGCTTAAAATTGAGCAATTGGTAAGAGCTTTCGGTTGATTGACAACGGCTTTTAGTTAGAAAATTGTCTGAATATGAACGTTGCCAAATTTATGATTAACAAGGGGTGTTTCAATAGAAATGGCAAAGACTATAGTTACTATTCCTTAGCTTATTCGAAGTGTTCGACACATAAGGAAAGGGGTAAGCATCTCTTCGGTGACCTTGTTCATCTTTCTGTAATCGGCACAAAACCTATAACTACCATCTATCTTTTTCAGTGAACTTTACACCAGTGTGTGCGCAAGATAGTAAGGAATTTAATTGTGCTACTGGTTCAGTAAACTGTGATTGCATAACGTGGTGATCTGTGTTTAAAGTGGAACTATTTCTTTCCTCTCTTATCTAAACAAGAAACTTATCTCACTGATAGGAAAAGTCGAGAATCCACCTCCCACGTCCAGTCCATCTATTTTCGTGATGGAGTCTAATAAATGCTGTGAGTGTTCTGGTGAAACGAGGGTGGGAAATAATGTGGCTTGTGGTGCTTGTAAGCGACATTTGCACTTCAGATCCACTGATTTAACCGTACAAGAAATAGATCTTGTCAAAGCCACTAAGTCGGTGCATTTACTCATTTTTTGTAAACTCTGCAGAGCACATATAACTTCCTTTAGTGAGCTCACGAATAAACTCTTAATAATGCAAAAATCAATTGATGATCGTCTGTCTTCCATTGAAAAAATAGTGTTGACGACACCGATTACGGCAATAAAACAGGAGGAGCTGATACAAGAGTCTGTGGAAAGAGCGCTACGGGCTGGCAATGTAATTCTTTCCAATGTACCTGAAGGAGCTAATGTAGGGGATGTTGATATCGCTAATGATATATTGAAGTTGGTTGATCCTGCAGCAGTGGTCACTCCCGAAAATGTTATGCGTATTGGCAAGGCCACGTCTGGCCGACCTCGCCTTCTAAAGCTCAGATTCAAGAATCCGGATATGGCACGTATTGTACTTCGGAAGTCACTAAAAACGACGAAATTTAAAGAAGTGTTCATAATGGACGACAAAACTCCTAATCAACGACTTCATCTTAATAACCTACGGGAAGAACTTCGTGTTCGTAAAGCTAAGGGTGATAATGTTACTATTAAATATATTCGCAACATTCCACAGATTGTTTTTGCATCACCAGGCGATCGCAATAACTTACCTTCTTCTAATAATAGTAATTTAAATTAACAGAGCCCAACAGTTACTCAAAACTTTACCTTTATTATCAAAATGTTCGAGGGTTATGCACAAAAGTTGATGAAGTTTATGCTAGCTGTAGTCAATTGGAATATAATGTTGTGTGTTTATCTGAAACATGGTTGAATTCTAGTGTAAGTTCATCTGAAATTTTTTCCAATAATTATACGGTATTTAGGGATGATAGAAATGTAGATACTGGTCGTATTAAAGGCGGGGGAACACTCATTGCTATTAATAATGAACTTAAATCGCATATATTAGACTTAAGTACTGTTACCCTTTCTGTTTCTCTTGTTGATTTGGTAGGTTGTAAAATTATTCTGAGTAGGACTTCGTTATTTATTTTTTGTGTGTACATTCCACCTGATATTTCCGTTGAAGATTTTGAGATGTTTTGTGATTCTTTTGAGCATTATCTCATTAACTTAAATGGCACTGTTATTATCGTTGGTGATTCTAATGTTCCCAACTTGGTGAAGGATTGCAGAGATAGAAAAAGTACAATTATACGAAATTTAATGACTTACACCAATCTTAAACAAGCTAACACGATAGTGAACAGTAATGATAGAATTCTGGACCTTGTGATTCATAGTGAAATAAATTGTGCAGTTTATCGTGACTTTAGCCCTTTGGTGCCAGAGGACCCTCACCATCCATCATTAAGCGTAGAATGTCAGTTAAATATAGAAAAAGTGTCAAACTTTTCTGCATGTTCGACACTTAAACAGTATAACTTTAAAAAAGCGAATCTTATAGAATTATATGATGCAATACTTAACATTGACTGGTCTTTTCTTGAAAACTGTACTGACATTAACTCAGCTTGTGATGAATTTTACAAACATATTTATGATTTATTTGATAAATATGTTCCATTGGTCAGATTTGGTAAATTGAAATTTCCATCTTGGTACTCCCGCGAATTACGTTATCACATTAAAACCAAAAATACTCTGTTTAAAAAGTTTAAGAAATGTCGCTCTTTTGAGTGTTACATGGCATACTCTGATCAAAGGAGATATGTTAAACAAATAATTAATCGTGATTATAAATTATATTTAACGAAGGTTGAAAATTCTGTTCTATCTGATCCGAATTTTTGGTGTTTTATTAAAAACAAAAAAGGTAGAACGGCTGTCCCAGGTACAGTTTTCGATGAAAACCAGGAGTTTAATACACCTCAAAAAATTGTTGATGGTTTTGCAAATTTTTTTTCTGACATTTACAAGGGTAATACTGGTCTAAAAAAGGATAACGATACACTATCTCATAATTCTCCTCCATTGATTACCATTTCTAATTTAAGTGAAGAGGAAATTTATAGTGCTATGAGAAGATTTAAACCTAATTGTGTGTCAGGGTTTGATCAGATTCCTTCTTTTATTGTTAAAGATTGTGCTATAGCGCTTGTTAAACCTTTGTGTTTCATGTTTAATTTAGCTTTAAATTCAGAAACGTTTCCAAACAGCTGGAAAGATGCAAGAGTTTGCCCAATTTTTAAAAATGGTGATGTGTCAAATATAAAAAATTATCGACCAATTTCGTTATTAACAAATTTATCTAAGGTGTTCGAAAGTGTGATTCGTAATCGCGTTTTTCCTAAAATAAAAAAATTAATAACTACATCCCAACATGGTTTCATGACCAATAGATCAACAATATCAAACTTGGTTTGTATATCGCAATTTCTATCTGAATCGCTAGATAGGAGACGGCAGGTGGATGTGTTATACACTGACTTCTCAAAAGCGTTCGATTGTGTTCAGCATGACATATTGCTCTCTAAAATGTCAGGTCTTGGCTTTTCGGAAACATTATTAAATTTTTTTAAATCATATCTTGATCATAGAACTAACTACGTATCCCTTGGCGGTTACCTCTCTGATAAGTACATAGCTAATACTGGTGTGCCTCAAGGATCGATATTGGGGCCACTTTTATTCAATATTTATATCAATGATGTTGTTGATTTATTTGTCAATTCGCAGTGCCTTTTATATGCAGACGACTTAAAAATTTTCAGAATTGTGTCAAATAGGGAGGACTGCCTACAACTTCAATCTGACATTAACCAAATTTTTAAATGGAGTGAAAACAATAATCTAAAATTAAATCTAGCAAAATGTAAAGTGATTTCCTTTACTAGGAACGAGAATAAAATTATATTTGATTATAGCGTTAACACCGTTCAACTGCACAGATGTTCCACATTTAAGGATCTTGGAGTAATTTTTGACCAGAAATTGTCATTCATTGATCACTTGTGTTACATAACTAATGCAGCTTTAAGAACTCTTGGTTTTATAGTACGTAACTCCCGAGATTTCCATAGTGTGCCCGTGTTAAAAATCCTGTATTTTTCGTTAGTTAGATCCAAATTAGAATATGCTAACATTATTTGGTCCCCATACTACATATATCAAAAAATCAACTTAGAAAAGGTTCAAAGGAGGTTTTTAAAATTATTATGTTTTAGAACTGATAATACCTATCCCAGTCGTGGTACTAATCAAAAATATTTACTGGAACGTTTCGGGTTTCAGTCACTGCACTGTAGAAGGTTAATAGCTAGCATATGTTTTGTAGTTAAATTGTGTCGTAATAGAATTGATTGTCCATATCTTTTATTTCTAATTCAGTTCTTTGTACCTTCATTTTATACACGGGACAAGAGTATGTTCAAACTTAGACACTACAAAACCAATCTTGGTATGAAATCACCTATTAATGTAATGTGTCAGAACTTTAATAAAATTTCTCAAAAATGTGACTTATACAATGATAGCCTTGGTTCCATTGTTAATTTTGCCAGGGGTTATTTTGATTCAATTGCTTAAGAGCGAATGTTAATTTATTTCCATATTGTTACACACCAGCCCACTGCATGTCGAATTTAACTTAATTTCTAAATTAATTAATTAACTGCGGTTGTATTTGATTATTTTAGTAGTATTTTATTTTTTTTATTTTTTAGTACTCTTAGTTTAGTTTAACATTAATTAACTTGTAATTACCCTGTTAATGGAAATTTTCTGTTGGGTAATAAATTTATTATTATTATTAATATTATTATTATTCACCATCACTATAGGCAAACTCCAAAGTGATGAGGATGGTTCGATAATATCATTCTTCAGTATTTCATACAGCTCCTGATTTACAGATTTTTGTAACGTCGGCGATAACGAATAATAACGTTGTTTGATATGGGTTCAGCAGTTGTTTTGATTAAGTGCTCTGCTAGATGTGTGCATCCGATCTTATTAACCGTAGGCGGAAATTCATCGAGCATTAGTTGTTTCAAGCGTTCCCTTCGATCAGAAGAAAGGTCTTCCGAGGCGATCAAAGCGAGCACTCAGGTGCTTGTCTAAATTTCCACTCACTGTGTGGTAGATCTGGCACGATTTCCATTTTTCTCCAGAAATCAATACCCAATATAAGAAAATGTGTTAATGACGGAATACCTAAACCTCAATAACTCGTACGCGACCAATTAATA